GTGTCCCTTTGCAAAATCAAACACTGACAAATAAGAGAGCATGACACTGTATGATTTCCGGGAGGATGGGTAAACATCCTCCCCATAAAAAGACAAAATGTGGGGGAATGTAGTAAGGGGAGGCCCTGAGATATAAACCTTGGTATCAGAGGCCCGGTATGAGGCCTAAGGCCTGAACTGAAGTAATGGTCAAGACTTTGCTTTCCCTTTGTTGCTGTCCTTCAGTTTCATACACCAACTTCAACACAGTCCCGGTAGGATGCTGCTGGCTAGTTGCCTTCCATCCGTTAGGATTATCTGCTGTTGTCAGATGCTACCGGTGTAGCGCTCTGCCTTCTCCTATGTTGATATCACTCGGCTGCGTGCGTGTGTTCCCGCTGTGTGCTGCCCCAGCTCTGCGCAGATAGCTGACCCAGCAGACCCGAAGAGAACCCCCAATAACCACAGAGTCTAGTAAGGCTAGGTCTATACTACCTGCCTGAATCGGCGGGTAGAAATCGACCTCTCGGGGATCGATTTATCGGGTCCCGTCGGGACGCGACAATCGATCCCCGAATCGGCGCTCTTACTCCACCAGCGGAGGTGGTAGTAAGCGCCGCCGACAGAAAGCCGCAGAAGTCGATTTTGCCGCCGTCCTCACAACGGGGTAAGTCGGCTGCGATACGTCGAATTCAGCTACGCTATTCACGTAGCTGAATTTGCGTATCTTAAATCGACTCCCCCCTGTAGTGTAGATGTACCCTAAGATGCAAAGTCACGTCGACTAGGTTTATTGCAACCTTGGACTCAATTGCAGTTCCCTGTAGGTTTCTTAGCCTAATTCAGGGCATACTACGAGAAAGTGCCTCTGGGCAATGGACCCGGCTCAGTCAGTGGCGGGACTTTCCACTGACCCCTCGGCCGGGACCACCGGGATACATTCTTATACACAGGTACAAACAAACAAGTTACACATCACTCCTGATGTATTGAGGTGCAACTCCTCTACGTAGCAAGGTGCCGCCTCTCACCTTGTACAGATTAGTTCGATCAAAACAACTCTATCCATCATTTTACCCTTTTGCCCTTGTCATTGGGATGGGTCAGCTTGTTCCATATTATCTGTGGAATGTTCCAGTATAGTGTGTTTTGGTACCATGTTTATACTTTAACTTTGCTAGGTGAATATATATTTATGCAACATCAGCCCTTTTCTTGCCAGCTTCTGTGAACCGAGCCGGCCTCTGGCTCACAGCTTAACTTTGCTTTATGTTAGCAAAGTCTTGACCATTACTTTAGTTCAGGCCTTAGGCCTCATACCGGGCCTCTGATACCAAGGTTTATATCTCAGGGCCTCCTCTTACTACAGGGGCTGCTGACGTATTGCTGTGGCTCTTTGGCAATGTACATTGGTAAGTTCTGGCTCCTTCTGAGGCTCAGGTTGGCCACCCCTGCCTTAGTATAAAAGTTCTCTTATATTCTTGTGGTACTGCCATAATATTTTCCCCTGAGGCACATTAGTGTTAAGTGTTAGAAAACTGAGAACGCCCTTGTTTTTCCTCTGTATTAACCAACACACTCATGGTCCTGTGTCAGCTCTGATCTTTCCAGTAGAGGAAGGAAACTCCATTTAGAGCAGTGGTTCCCAAACTTCAACAGCCCGTGAACCCCTTTCACTAAATTGTGACATCTCGTGAACCCCCTCCTAAAAATGAATATTTCCAGGGATTTAAGTTTAAATTTCCTCAGTGTGATGGATTCACTTGCTTTGCTCTGCATAGCTCTTGGAAGTCTGGAACCACTGGAGAAAGATAAAGTCTCAGGTCTGGTTCGGCATCAAGTCTGTTTCTGTATTTGGTTTTCAGATGTGCATACGAGGAAAATGCTTTCTCGCATAAGTATGTTGTTGAAAATGGTAACAAAACTGCAGCAGCTTTTTCTGCCAGAAAGGGGTACTCGTTTCTTAAACTCAGCCAAAAGTTGATCAATTATAGATTTCTGAAACTCCTTTTCAGTTCGTAATCACAGGAGATCTCAATCAATTTCTCTTTTTCCTTGGTGTTTAATATCTGTGTTGAGAAAGTGGTATCATCAAAAGGGTTGCAAATTCAGTCATTACCGCCTGACATAGCTGGAAAGTATTCCCTGAAAGTTGTGCAAAGTCCTTTTAGGTGTGCAATTATATTGGTTTTAGTGCACTGATCCAACTGAAGTTTATGTTCTGCCAGGAAGTCATGAAAATTACTGAAACACTCAGTTTGATTGTTTTCCAAACAACTTTCCCAGAACTGCAACTTCTTTATCAGGGATTCAACTCGCTCTTGCACATTGAAAACTGTTATATTGAGGCCTTGAAGAGATAAATTTAGGTCATTAATTCTTGAGAAAATATCTGCTAAATAAGCTAGGCTCTGGAGCCAGACATTATTTTCCATACAGCTGGCAAGGTGGAAAGGGTGGCTGTTGAAAAAAAACTAGGATTTCCGTTCTAACCTCAAACAAGCGCACAATGATTTTACCCCTTGAGAGCCATCTAACTTCAGTATGGGTCAACACACAGTCGTGTATACTACCTATTTCTTCACAAAGTACGTGAAATATTCTGGAATTTGTTGGCCATGATTTTATGAAATTCACCATTTTCACTGCATTGTCCAGCACTTCCTTCAGTCCCTCTGGCATGCGTTTTGTTGCAAGGGCTTGTCTATGGATGCTGCAATGAGTGCAAGAGACTTTTGATGCAACCTTTTTTGTTCGAGCTACAAATCCAGTATACTTCCCCATCATTGATGTGGCCCCATCAGTGCAATGCCTAGGCAACGAGACCAATCTATTTCCTTTTCTTGAAAATATGCATTAGTCAGATTGAAGATATCTTCTCCAGTTGTACGTTCTTCCAATGGTCGGCAAAACAAGAAGTCTTCTTCAACCAGACCTTCATTCACATAACGTACAAACAGTAACAAAATAGCTAGATTAGCTACATCAGTTGATTCATCCAACTGTATAGCATAATATGGACTATTTTTCACTCTATGTACAATTGTGGTCTCTACGTTATTTGACATGTCATTAATTCTTCGTGACAACGTATTATTGGACAAAGGTACCATGTCAATCCTTTTTGCAGCCTTTTCTCTGATCATGCAATGAACTACGTCTTTTATACATGGACCAATCAAGCTCTCTGCTATGGTATGGGCTTCTGATGCTTTTGCTATTCGGTAGCTCATGCGGTATGACGCTTCAAGTGCATTTTCATTATCAGTACTTGCTTTGGATATAAAACTGGTAATGTCACTTTTCTTCTCAGCTAATTTTCGCTTGAAAAAATCAACAGGCTTGTCGAGTTGTGCAGGATGCCTAGTTTCTAAATGGCGCCAAAGTAGAGAAGGTTTGAGGCTGCTGTTTGCTAGAACATCACCACAAATCACACACAGTGGTTTTGGACATTCTTGATCACCAATGCATGTAAAGCCATATTTTATATAATCATCGTCATATTTTCTTTTCTTTGTAAGTGACTTTCCAGGACCATCATGATCATTAGACGTAGATTTTCCACAGTGTGGACTTGAGGAAACACTAGCTGATTCCAGCGTCTTTACACTTTCCTTTTTCAGCCACTTATCCATTGAACTTGTGTACAAAAGTTCTAATAAAAATAATAGAGAGAGACTGCAAACAACCAACAAACTAGAAACTGAGAAGATTCACTCACTGAAGCAAATCAGCCCTCCAGAGAGAAGGACAATTACTGAGACACCTTAACACTCCTACACTGGCTACAACGTGCTTCTGGCTGGTTTGGCTCGCAAACAGCTTTTCTTCCGCCCAGGAAGGTGCAGATTAGCTGGGACCACCCCCCACGTTCAGCGTGGCCCCCTGCTGACTGCCCTGGATGCAAACTTCCCCTGCCTGACAAGGACAGGGATCCGAGCTGCCACCTGCACCCCGCATGGAGTGCTGGGGTTCGGGGCTGCTGGCTCCCCCGCTGACAGGGGAGGGCTGGGGCTGCCGGCTCAAACTGCCGCTCTCCCCGAGGCTCGGGCTGCCAGCTCCCTGGCTGACAAGGGAGGGCTCGGGCTGCCCGCTCAAACTGCCCGGCCCTGCTCTCCCTGGGGCTCGGGCTGTCTGCCCTGCAACTGGGTCCCAGCAGAGTCCTCTGGCTGCCATTAATGAAATTTTTCTTGCGAACCCCCTGAAACGTTCTGCGAACCCCCAGGGGTTCACGAACCCCACTTTGGGAACCACTGATTTAGAGCCTATTTATGCTACTTCTTAATTAGTGGGAGGAATCATCAATGTGAATTTCTTCCCCCAGGAGCTGAGTGTTGCTATATGACTAATCCTTTGCTATTGGCAGGTATGGTTTGTGTATATCTTTTATTTCTGTAACCTCTGAATAACATTTTTTCCCCACCAAAAAGAACAAATTCAAGCTTTAGAAGCACAGATTATTGTCCATGTCAGCTGTGGAAAAGAACACTCGCTGGCTGTTTGCAACAGAGGAAAGGTCTTCTCCTGGGGAGCTGGGTCTGAAGGCCAGCTGGGCACTGGAGAATTTAAGGAACAAAGTTTAATCCCGAAGTAAGTAGCCATTTAAGCATAATGTTTCAGACTCACAGCATGGTCCCCATTTGTGCACCTCATGAAACCACTACAAAATCTGGCCCAGTTTGACATGGGTCACTGGAACTGGAAGGTCTGATAGATAAAAGTTGAGATTTAGGGGAAGTTTGCAGGGCATTGAATCTCACATGTAGCTGTCTCAAAACAGGTGTAAGAGTATTAAGATGCTGTGCGTGGTTTCTCTTGCATAGCAATGTTCTTTACTTACCCAAACACAGCATTTCATCCACAAGTTAACTTTGTCTTTGTATGATTTCTTTTATCATAAATGAGGGATTAGACAGTGGTTCAACATCATCTGGATTGTTTGCAGCTTGTTTAGAAGAGATTTTTCTGCTAACTATATTGGGGGTGATGTAGGCTTCAGCATGCATGGAGAGAAAACTGCTTGAGGATTTCAGATTTTTTTTTTCCAAGTGCACTTACAGGGCTTATTTATAAATCTCAGTACATGCACTCATCTGTGAATATGGGGCTAAATTCAGCTCTGGCATAAGTGTTCCAGTGGAAGTCAGTGCCAGAGCAGGATTTGCCCCCTGCAATTTTTGGGCAGTGGTGCAGCCAGAAGTGTATTTATTTCACATAATCCTGTTAGTTGTTCTTGTAAATGACATTTGTTTTGCATCCCCCACCGCGAATGTCCCATCAATGCAAGTTACGTTGCTTTGCCAAATATGCCTTTTTCTAACCATTTTGCACCTGACATGTTTGTGACATGACTACTGAATGGTATACAGAAATGTAAACCACAAACAGTACGAACACAAACCCTTCGTTATTTTTATAGCAAGTATATTTCTGTCTCTCTTTCCTGTATAAGGAGAATTGTTGTTTAACTCTCCTTCCCTTATCCCTCCTCCTCCTCCTCCCTCAAAGTTAGATGCATCTAAGACCAGGTCAGCTACTTCAGCTCCCTTTAACCCTGAGTAAAGTTTAGGCTGTACAAGAAGCATGGGAACAGGTCTCAACTCTCTTGCAGGGTGCACCGAAAATTCAGGATCAAGCTCTAGAGTCTAGAGCTTACAGTTTGTTGTTATTTAGAAGCCAGTGCACGTCATGTAACACAAAGCTATTCTGGGACCTTCACTGAGCTGCTGTAATGTTCAGAGTTAGATTTAGGCTTGGATTATGCCCCCTTTTGCCTCAGGTGGCAGAGAAGTCAGCCCGCCAGAACCTCCCCTTCACCAGCATAGGTGGGTGGGGGGGAGGGGGTAGCAGCCAAACAGAGAAGCTCGAAAAGTGGGTGGTGCTGACCAGGAAGGGGATGTGGCAATGATGGCTCAGGGATGATCCTATGGGGGCATGACCAATTTAAAGCTGCACTTCCCTAGGGGAATCCTTGTGGGGGGATGGTGCCTGCCCTTTCCCTGACGTTAATTCTTTCCTTCCCCTACTTTGCTTCCCAGCAGGAGATCACTAGACCTCTCCTCACCAGCAGGGATGCAAACAACTCCTCAGCACATCAAGTTCTAAAAAGCCAGTGAATGTTGTAAAATAGTTGCTAACATCTGTACACCACTGTAAAAGAATCATCTTGACCAGACCATGACTCTTTGGTCATGTGAGGAATGGTTTAGCTGGCATATGAAATTCCAAGGCCTTGCTGAACTCAGGAACAAAATGCTCCCATCCTGTATCAGATGAAACTCTAGCATGTCTTTGCCCATTCGTAATGTTGTTTCTCAGTCTTGTAAGACAATATTTTTAGTTAGTTAGTTATTCCCCACCCCACCCTCCCATGCATGCCCTTTCTATCTGCTTGTTGTGCATGGGGGTGGGAAAATTGTAAGCAGTTTATTAAAACTCACATTTGAAAATGATTGAATGAAAAATATTGGGCCCATTCTTAACAGCACTCTACACACAGACTTAAATGGGAATTTAGCACATGGACTAGACCCAGGCTGGATGACTTTATGGCATATCAAACATGGCTTCTCAAGCAAGTCTGTAGAAGAGATAGGGTTTTCCAAAACGTTTGGAACAATCTAAAACTCCAGTGAACTTTGTTTTACATGCATAGGCAATACCAACAGAGTTTATTCAGAGAGTACTATTTAGAAAAGAAGCTTTTATAATTAAGAAATATAGCATGCTTTTTAGACCCTTAAAATTCAGACATAAGAATGGCCATACTGGGTCAGATCAAAGGTCCATCTAGCCCAGTATCCTATCTTCCAACAGTGGCCAATGCCACTGAGGGAATGAACAGAACAGATAATCATCAAGTGGTCCATAATCCAATCCATAATGGATTTTCATTACCAAAAAATCTGACCTATAAACAATCTTCATGCTAGATTTCTAGTTTTTGTTCCAACTGCTAAGACACCAAAGTTCTTTTAAAAACAAACAAACAAACAAACACATTACAACATTTTCTCCATTATTAAAATTTATGTTTGCTTTCTGTTTCCCACCCTGCCTTTGTAGTAGAACAAACAGCAGAACAATATTTGCCTGAGCTTTCTAAAGACGTTCATCATTAGGAACCAGACCCAGAAAGTTTCACCCTCTCCAGGTGAAAATTTGACAAAGTTCTAGGCAAAAGTCCTTTTTAGCATGGACATGTTTGGGGAGCCTTAACTTGAGCTGTAGCTATGCTCTCCAGCTATAATGTTTATTTATGGATATTTTTGCTGTCAAAAAAAGTTACATTGTAGTGGATGCGTAAGAATTTATTCTGAATAGTGTCAAAATACAGTGCACGTTCACCTCTGTGTGAATAATAGACAACTGAAGCACAGGACATATTAAGTCAGAGTCCAAATGACACATTTATGTGCGTATATCCTAAGTAGTGGAGAAACAACCTATTGCAGAAAACTCTGACTGGCTAATGACCAGGCAAAGGTAAAACCGAGACTGTGCAGAGTCAGTGTTATAAAATATATTATATTTTAATATTTTATAATATTAATATTTTAGGTATTACATCATCTGTTTTCTGAAACATAATTGAGTTTTTCATATGATCTAGAAACCAGGTTAACTTGGCTGTCCTGTTATCTGCTACAGGAAAATAGATGGTCTCTCTGCTCTCAGAATAATACAAGTCACCTGTGGGCACTTTCACTCAGTTGCACTGGCACAAGGTAATACACGTTTCATTTTTAAATTATGTCCCAAGTGCAGTGCAAGCAATTCTGTTCTTTGGTGCAGTTAATTTATATGCAAGTCAGATGTTAAGTTATCCATTACTCCTTTAACAGAAATTATTATTATTAATCATGCTTGTTGATGGTAGTGCTCATGGACCAACCTAGAATGGAGCCCCATTGTGTCAGGTACGATGCAAACACAGAGTAGTATGCAGTCCTTGCCCTGAAGAATTTACTGTCTAATAGACGAGACAGAGAAAAGGGAGGGCAAAGAGATGCAATATTCAAACAAAGCAATCAGTGTGATGCGGGAAATGTCAATTTATCTTTTCTGTTTTTCCTACAGCCCAAATAGTGTCCAGTACCTCATTTCTGAAAAAGCCAGGTGGGGCCAAGTTACCCATTGGTTAGTTATGCTCACAGAGGGGCTGCTAATAACGTTTTTTGGTCAAAGCGTTAGCTATTGTGTCAGGTGTTGTCTGTGATGGGAAGGCAACCCTTCTCAAAACTGCTATTTAGATAAGAAAATGTCAAAAATCTTCCCCACATTCTTTTTGGGAATTGTTCATTTGATAGGCAAGATCCATCTTCAATAATAGAGGTGAACGTGTCCCTTCTTCCTTCTCCTAGTGAGGAACCACAATTCCTGCTATATGAATTCTTACATCTTACATGATGGTTGGATGGGTGGAGAAGAAGCTTCCTCTGCTGTTGCCTGTTCTGTGGCTAACCAGAAGGCACTCGGTTCCAGGGCTGTCAACCTGGCACTTGTCATGAGCACTACATTAAATATATGCATTTGGCATAAGATGTCATGTTAAGAGGGTGGTATTTTATTTTGTCATACAGGTTCACTGGCATTTTACTAGTAGAAGGGGACACTGAGAAAAGTATTCTCCATTCATTATTTTTTATTGTTAAATGAAAAACGTAACACAGTTTCTGTGAGCATACAGGACTACCTGACTCCTCAGCTTTGGATGGATTAGGAAACTACAGATTCTAATTTCAGTTTGTTACAAACACAAGCTGTGTAAAATTATTCTGTCAGCACAGTGTCACACAGCTCCAGGTATTTGCCAAATCACAAGCATGAGGAATAATGGGTATGTGCCAAATTTAGTTGTCTTGACGCCCCGCAGTCATTGGAGTAGTGTGTGGGTTAGTGAGCATAGAATTCACCCTTACGTGGCTTGACTGAGTGCTAAATCTGCCCTCCTCTGTGGCATCAAGTTCACGTCAAGGGCATAATTTTTCACAGCTGTCAGTGAGCGAGTTAGTTAACATGTCGCTTGAAGGTGTGTCTTCTTTTACTTTGTTTCTCTTTTTCTTTTAAAAAAAATAAAGATGGCAGAGTCTTCTCATGGGGACAGAACACCCATGGCCAGCTGGGCCTGGGACAAGAAATCCCCTCCCAGCCTAGCCCACAGCATGTCACATCTCTCAGCGGGATCCCTGTAGCTCAGGTTGCTGCCGGCGGGGGACACACCTTTGCCCTGTCTCTCTCGGGAGTTGTGTATGGTTGGGGAAGGAACAACGCAAGGCAGCTGGGATTAAACCTCACTAACACAAGAGGTAACTCGATCCTTTCATTTCTCAAGGAAACTCCATCTTAATTCCAGACTTCCTCTCGTTATATAGACTCTCCTGAGATAATGGGATGGACTTAGACTGTTCGCTAGAATGAACCATGACTAGAACTAGATGAATATGAGGGGGAAAAGGATATGTAAATGTTTGAATGAATTTGCACCAACTGTGTTTGCCTTCTGTGCATATTGTATCAAATGAGTTTATTAGTGGGAGAAATCACTAAAACAGCAAACTTTAAGCAATAAATTGCAGAATGTTTGCAGGAAACACATTTCGAATTCATATCCACACTGGAAACCTGATTGTAAGAGTTGTACCTACCCAAAGAGGGAGCAGAAACATACTGTGACATTACCCAGGGTACAATCTGGACTGATGGACAGCTGTGTCCTCGCAATTCTCCAACCTGGGGTGCCTTTTACACTGCTTCGCCGTGAGAGCATCCACTCCTGGTTTGCTCACACACAGCCTCCAGCATGTAGGTTACTCCCAGTTATACCATATCAGTGCGATAGCCAGCCACTCATGAACTACTCTGCAGGGCAACACCAGCAAATTCCCAGTCCTGGACTTCCCTCCCCGAAATGTGCGTTTTGTACTGCCCAGCACCCTCCTGGACAATACAAGTTCATATAAAGTCCGTTATTTAATAGAATAACAGGGGTGGCCAAACTGTGGCTCGTGATCCACATGCGACTCTTTTACCATTGAAGTGCGGCTCGCAAGCCCCCCAGACTCCCTCCCGTTCTCCACCTACCAGACCTGAGGCGAGGGGGAGAAGCTCAGGACCTTGCCTTGCAGTAGGGTGGTGGGGTAGGGGCTTCTGTCCAGCGGGGAGGGGGGTCTCGGGGCTTTAGCCCTGCGGGGCTTGGGGCTTCAGCAGGAGTGGGGCTGAACCCTCAGCTCCTGGCAGGTGTGTCCTGGCTCTTGAACTTCTAAAGATTGTTGTACGTGGCTCGGAGGGCCAGTAAGTTTGGCCACCCCTGGAATATGATATGCACAAATCCTGTTCTCCCAAATGAAGTTTCTCAAACACACCGGTTTAGATAAAATAACTTTATTAATTACAGAAAGACTTTAAGTGATTTTAAGTAATAAGGCATAAAAATCAGAATTGGTTACAAAGAAATAAAAGGTAAAATGTAACTAATACTTAACAAGCTAAGTGAATTCAAAGCAAAGGTCTCTCTCACCAGAAGTTCCAACCATCTTACTGGCTGAATCCTTTAGTCAGGATCCCTCTCCAATGCTGCTTCCTTTGTTTTTCAAGCGTTGTTGATGCTGAGGGTAGAGAGAAAGGGAGAGATGGTTTGGGGTGTCTGCTCTTTCCCTTCCAGCCATTTCTCTTGCACAAGAATCACCTCCAGCTGATGTTCAAGAGACAGAAAGTCTGTGTCAGGAACCTCAAGCTGCTGCTTTGTCAAATTCTTTGCCCACACCCTCTCTCCTGCAGAAGAGTGGCCACTTAATCAGCTGAGGGTCCATTTGATCTTGTTGACACTTGGCTGAGCCCTTGGCTAGCCTGTTGTCTCTGGGGAACTGGTTTGTGACTGCCCCTCAGAACAGGTCGCAGCATGACTCAGTAATACCACACAGTGGAATCTTTACATACAGGGTTGCCATACACATTTTACCAAGACAATAATGATCAGCAAATCCTGTGTTTTTAAATGACCGCTCCCAATGCATACTTAGTACAAGTTTTACCATAATCCTCTAAAAGGGGTGAACCTAGGGGGACAGACTGTCACACATACCACCTAGCCCATCAAAACAGCTCAAATTTCTGACACTGAACTCTTTCAATGTCTCCTTACAAACAAGATACCATGTAAGAACTATTTACAGAAATTCAGTGAATCATGTGAACAGCAATTAAATTGGAGAAAATGAGGTGTTTGGACAGGAAAAGATGAGATGATTGAATCTATTCAGCCAGCTCTAACCATAACATTTCCACAGCTTGTATAATGGGCCCATGGTTTAGGCAGCTGTGGAGACAGTAGCATCTTTAGAAACCAGAAAGAATGACCAATTCATTTGAAAGCTGATGGTATAAAAAACAGCAGAGTAATGTAATAGTATTATACTCATAAAATTCTGGCCAAGCTAACAATATGCAATTTCTGTCTGGATGGAAAGTTTGATGGTTCGCTATTTTCAGAGAATCTGTTAGGCCAGATTTAACCTGTATGGAATGTGAGGTTCGGGGGTGGTGGGTTGTTTTGTTTGGCAGTCTGGATGTTTAAGCCAGCATCTTCAAGCATCCTTTGGGTTTCTTGCTCAGCCTGTAAGATTTCCCACCAGGAATCAAATCTATGGTCTGTTTGCAGATTACAAATCCAAAACAAAGACAAAAACTACATCCAGGTTGATGGCTTTCAAATGCAACTTCAGAATGGCCTAGAGCAAAAACTCTTCTGTTTCTACTTCTGCTCACCAGACAAAGCACTTACATTCCTTGCACTAGTTGATGCTATAGTAGGTGTGTATGTAAATACGAGGAATCTAAAGCACAGATAATCTCATTTTGCCCTTAAACTCCCCTTCCCTTTTAAATATTTTTAAATAATCATGGTCAGATCATATGAAATCTCAGCGGGCAGGATGCTAAAAAAGCAGGGTTAGGGTAACCCAACATCTGGCGGATGGTGCTCTGAAAGGAAAGAAGCCATTTCACATGCTATAGGAACCTCTGCTTCTCCAACAGAGCAAGTCTTCAAACCGTATGCAGTAGCTGCTCTGAAGACTATTGGCGTGGTCTATATCAGCTGTGGAGATGAGCACACTGCAGTGCTCACCCAGGTATGCTCCAAATCCTTCTGTGTGATGGACAGCCAGGCCATGATAGTCTACAAATAAGTGTGTGTGTGTGTGTGTGTGTGTGTGTGTGTGTGTGTGTGTGCGCGCGCGCTTACTTGGTATGATGGCACAGCAAGGCTTAAGGGCCTTCGTTTGATTTTGGGGGACGGAGGGATTAGAAGACCCGGGCAGTGCTAATCTTGTGCAAAGACCTTAGGCCTTGTAACTTTCACTGAGGTCTCTGGGATGTTTATCTGCTCAAGGATGTCCCGGTTGGACATTGCTGCAGTCTCTGGCATTGGAAACCCCTGTTGAGCATTTACATGAAACAGAACAAGGGCAGCTTAAGGTTATGAGACCCAGTCTTGCGCCCATTATATTCAATGGAAACTTTGCCATTGACCTCAGTGAGTGTAGAATTGGGCCAAATCCTGCTCATCTTACTCAAACCTATGATGGGCTACTCAGATGAGGAAGACAGGAAGTAGGATATGGCCCAAAGTGCTGTATAACCATGAAAGTCTCCATTATCAATGGATAATTCAAGACGCTTTGTTCCCAAAACAGAGCTTTTGGAAACACCCTACGTATAGCTACTGTTTATCCCAAAATTAACAACTATCCCAACAATTAACAATTATTAACGATTATTCCAATATGTACAAAAAGATGTAATGACAAATGTAAACAGGTTTTGTGCTGTAGGAAAACGTTGGTATTTTGGAAATTTTACTTTAAATCTAAACAAAGGCTACTAATGACAATAGAAATTGAATATATTTTTTTCTAATACCAAAAGCTGTTTTCTGAAAAATTATCAAAAATAAATGGAAAGCACATGAAGTAAAAGCAACATCCCTGTACTGCTTCTGACATAGAAATGTTCTCCAACCAACCAGTCCCTATGTTCAGCAGGTTGCTTTTCCCTGGGGGGATGGGGGAGGGTGTGCGTGTGTGTGAGAGACCCCCATTACTTTGACTGCTCCTTACAAGAGGGTTAGAATCTGCTATCTCTTCCATACTTAGCTCTGTACCTCAAGCAGCAGGTTCATGCTTTTAGTATGAGAAATCCCAGGTTCAAACCATGCTGACAGCCCAAACTGGATTAGTTACATGCCCACCGTGAATATGATCCTTCATTGGTTTCACTTGTGTATGGCTAGATTGTATCATCTTCTCTCAACAGTCTTTAGGTTTTCTTCTTTTTTGTTGGAGGGGTTAAAATAAATTAGGAGGTGAAAGTCCCATAACCATGGCAAACTAAATTTGCTTTTGTTTCAACAGGATGGCAGTGTGTTCACATTTGGAGATGACAGTGCTGGACAGCTGGGACATCGCTCTTCAACCCAGATGCCTGGTCCGGAGAAGGTCGAATGGATAGACGGTCCAGTTTCCCATTTGGCATGTGGAAGGTGTATACTGTAGCTCATGTTTTTCATAATACAGTAGTCACATTTTGCAAGAGAAAACAAAATTGTTTTCTAAAGGAAGGTAGACAATTTTGGGTATTTTTTTTTAACCAGGTGTGTGCCTATTAAAAGCAAATAACTGCTTCAATATAAAGCTAAATTTGCACAGTTACAATCAAAGGGTCAATTAGTGAAGAAGTTACCCTCCAGTTCTGTGAGAACACAGATACAGTAGGTATTTGCAGCAGCCAGTAGAAACAGAGTTTTAGGATGAGGTTCAGTGGTACGCTCTGACTGCTTTGCACTCATTCCTTCATTAACAGTAAGCAACTGTAAACCCAGCTTTAACTGGCCTTTGAAACTGGATTTCTTGCTCCTTTGCATCAGTGGAGGGATGCAAAGCATTCAGAATATTCCACTAAAGCTGGCTCTTAACGTATAATTATAATACAACTTGCATATGCAGATTAGACACTCCTGAGGTAGTCCTGCTGTCTGGATTTTTTTGTGGATGGTCTCTATATAGCAAATTCTAGAGGGTTCAGAGGTCTGTTGCATACTGTAATATGAAATAAAAATAAGACAGTATAGTGTATGTATTGCTCTTCATTGATCTCAAATTGTTTGCAAATCAAGGGCCAAGCTGAAGTCAAATAAGGCAAATAGGCCTTGGTCACTAAGTAGTAGTATCCTCCTTTTCAGATAGGAACACTGAGTTACAGTGGGACTGTGACTTACTGAAGGTCACACAGACTGTAGTGGTGAAGAATAAAGCCCATCTTGTCTGATTCCCAGTCCTGTGCTCCAACCACTAGATATCCTAATGAATTTGTACAGGTGCCTTTATTAGCCTGGTTTATCATCAGCTGACTTATTGACTGGAAGGGAGAACAGAGAGTTTTCTCTGACAGATTTGTAACATGTTATCTCTTCTCTTTGGCAGCTATCACACCCTGGTCTACATGTCTACTTCTGGGCAGCTTATATCTTTTGGACGTGGTCCCCAAAGACACATTGAAAATGGAACAGCCAGTAACCCAGGGGAGCAGACACAGAACTTTGACATCAGCAGTCTGATTTCAGCTAACGGTACTGATTATAAGTGGAAATATGTTTGTTTTTACACAATGTGTAATGAATCTGTGGAACTCATTGCCACAAGAGATAACTGAGGTCAAGACCTTTAGTTGGATTTAAAAAAGAATTTGACATTTACTTAATTAACAAGAACATCACTAGTAATATTAGATGGTATTAGAATATCTATATTTAGAAGGAATATAAAGCCCTCATGCTTCATGGCATGAATCTAACACTAACGTGGGCTACAAAGAAACAGATGATGCCATCACAGGAATATAACTGTCATGTAATTATTTCCAAGCAATAGAGAATATACAATGAAAGTATACGGGGGAGTAAAATGTTGTTGTGCCTCTTGCCTGTATTTTTCTGTAACATCTCCCAGGGTCCAGTCCTGTAACCTGCTGAGCAGCTTCTGGGCATTTCCTAGCCCTCTCCAGTCTCTTGACTTTAATGGGAGCTGCGGGCATTTAGCTACTTGCAGGTCTGGGGCCAGCTCCAAAACCCCATTGAAGTCAATAGAAGGACTTGCACTGGCTTCAGTGGGCTTTGGATCAATGCCTAAGGCCCAAGAAAACAAAGTAGCAGCATAATTACCAGCCGTAGAAATTGAGGATTTGGGGCTGATCCGATTCATGTTCTTGTAGATCTGTCGGGCGTCCAAGTGAAAATGATTTTTGCTGGAACGTATGTCAACTTCGTCAGTACTCTTCAGTGCCAGGTAGTGATATCCTGTCTTGTAGATTTCATTTAACTCGTTTGTTTCAATGATAGTGGGCAGAATTGCAAGCAGTGTGTCACTAGCATGTTAGCAAATTTAAGATCTATTCATTTTAAAGCAGATACAGCTCTACCCCGATACAACGCTGTCCTCGGGAGCCAAAAAATCTTACCATGTTATAGGTGAAACCGCGTTATATCGAACTTGCTTTGATCCGCTGGAGTGCACAGTCCCGCCCCCCCCGGAGCGCTGCTTTACCGCGTTATATCCGAATTCGTGTTATATCGGGTCACGTTATATCGGGGTAGAGGTGTATGTCATGTTTATGAGAGAGGTTTGGAAGCAATAACAACGGCAGCAGTTTGTGCCAGGAACCTGCAGTAGTTAGCAAAACACAGAGGGGAAAACGGTAATTTCCAGTTTATATCTCAGCCAAATCTGAACAGATTTACATGGGGCCCACAAAAGACACCTCCCTGACCCTAAGTTCATTCCCTTGTGAAGTTTCAGTTTTGCTGGCTGTAAACTATGAAGGCATTAGAGGCCTTAATTAAGGTTCTTATTACTTTTTTATGAGAAGTATTCTGCAACTTTCATATTTGCTCTTAGTAACTTTTTTCTAAAATCAAATTTTATGGGCCAGATCCTCAGCTGCTGTCAGTGATCATCACTGCATTGATTTCAATGAAACTTCGTTGATTTGGCATGAGGATCTGACACAGTGTTTTAAGAAAGGAAAATCCATTCCTTAAATATACTCAAGTATATGAAACAATGTTGTTTTTAAAGAAAATATGTAACAAGTTTGTGTTGCAAGACTAAATCACCCAGTGTTAACCTAGCACACAGAGAACAGTAGAAAGAACAGAGTTACAGTGGTGGGTATAATTCTGACCATAATATCACAAGGAGGAAGTTGAGGTTGAAGAGCTGCAGTATGGGCTGATGATAATATTTGGTACTTATATTGAGCTTTACATCTTCAGCGTTCTGTAAAAATATTAATTAACCATAGCAATAGACTAGCGACGATTTATGGCTTTGAACCCTTTGGTGGAGAATAGTGGTTCTCCATGGATGCTCCATTAACCATAAGTCATCCACAAAGCCCTTCATGGTAGTCTGCTGAATGAAATAGATTGGAGCTAAGTGATGGTTGTTGGAGCAGGAGGATGTCCAGGTGAGACTGGAAGTTTTCATTTAGTAGTTTGAAGTTAGTTAGAACACAGCTCATGTATCTATATTGCCTGGTTCAGGCTAGGAGAGCCAGTTGAGCAGAGAAGATCCTCCAGTCATCAGCTCAAGGATTTCTCAAGCAGCTCACTTTAATCTCCAGAAAGTGTAATCCATAAATACAAAGCAAATCTGGAGACCCGCAGCGGTTGGTAGGAAACTATGTGGTCCCTTAACTCCTCTTCCCACCCCAAATTTAACAATTTTAATCTCCAAAACCTAGTTAGTGGCTCTCTTCCTGTATTGACCCTTCTTCCACTCTAGAATTGTGACCAGATCATTCTAGGACTGGTTCATATGGAAGTCAATAGCAAAACTCTCATTGACTGCAATGGGAGCCTGGTTTTAGAATTGGTTGCTATCTCAAAGAACTGGTTGGCATAGAGAATCAATGCAGGAGCTTTCAGACTGTTACAACAACATACCTTAACCTGGGTCCTTTTTCATTTTACTAACTGTTGGATAGATGATAAGGGATACTGTGAAGAGGAAAATTGGTGACCTTCAGGAGCTAAAATTAAGTTGTGAGGGATCCTAGGTACAGTTTGGTCCCATCTCTAAGGGTTAGTAAGGATGATCTCCTTCAGAATCCAAGCCAAGAGAATTGCACATATTTATTGTTTGTCCTCCCACTATGTTCCAAAATGTAAATAAAAAGAAATTTTTCTTTTCAATTTGGGAAGAATCAGGTTTATCGTGGTAGTACTCTCATCTTGTTTTGCCTTTTTACTTTATAGCCTTCCACATAAAATAAATCTACTTTAATGTCAGGAAGAGTAGTACAAGATTAGCGAACTGGTAGTTTCTCCACATAGCCTGTTGCATTTACCTGCCTAATGCAAATGCAGGGTCTTCGGTTTTGAGCAAAAGTGGGAGCAGATTTGATCAATTGCTTTGTAAAAAGCTTATTTGCAGTGGTGGTTATAATTTTATATACAACCGTATGCATTTACTAAACTTAATCTTTTATTGTTGTATCTTTGCTTTTTGGTTTTATTTAAGGATCTTGAGCATGCACGTGGGATCTCTCCCGCAGATACCCTGCAGAAGATTAGCAGGCTCGACAGGACATTGATAGATAAATGGATGGCAGTGACAGTTGGCACTGATGAATTCCAGGAGGCTAAAAGGTTGCTGTCTACCACTTTTCTACATTATGGGATATGAAGACTTGTCTTTAGACATCTTTATAGTCAGTGTACTAAAAACTTATTCATAAACTTTAAACAAAAGTAGGGTCTGTTTTACTGCCTTTACTGAAACTACTAGGCCCATACCTAGCCTATAACATGGCTGTCCTACAATTTAGCCAGCCTTGTATGAACACCCTTTGATGACAACCAGCCCTGACCAAACACTGTTTCTGAACTCAATTCTTTAATTGTTTTTCATTGAATCATCAGAGACCTGTTTGCTGCTAAATGGGAATTGAAGCAGATCCTTAACTGACTGGAAAGACACCCTCTCATTTCATTTGGAGTCAGATTAGATTCTAAAGGCCTGATGCAAAACTGGTTGAAGTTAATGGAAAGACTGTCTTCACTGGGTTTTAGATCAGGCCCTGAGAGAGAATAAAAATCCTGCAGCAAACGGTATCTTCCTCTAAATGACATATCTTAAGAAAGCATCTTTTGGCAGTAGAAAATTCATCATGCAAACGTGCTCTCTTAATAGCTAAAATAACAGAGTAATTGCTTAAGATTCAGTCTTGTAAATGTCTGAGCACTAATACATTGACCTACTAGGTGGGATAATTGTTTAATGCCTACTTTCTTGTATTATTGTGCCTTTTTTAGGGAAATAGCCATGATATTTTCTTCTCCTGCTTGTTTAAGTGCAAGTTTTTTAAAACCCAGGTAAGTGATACTTTCAATGCCATTCTTTGCAAAGTTTAAACAAGAAGCTAAAATTGTAAGTCAACTAAATTATGAAGACAAAACCCATCCCCATTTCCAGAAGATGTACCTGCTGGGTTTAGGGGTGGCAAGGGAGTTAAAGCAGAGCGGTGCCAGCCATTTTTAAGTTTGAATAACCGTCATGTTGCTGCGGGACAGGAAGATTCCAGGTAGCAAAGGGGGATCATGTAGTTGTGATACACTCCGCTACTTCTTTAACAAAGGAACGCCATTCAACACGCTGAATCCCCAGCACCCATGCTAGCATATGCTACACACTTCAGTATATGCACTAGGCAGCCAGAGACCCAACCGTACCTCTAGCCAGCAGACCACGCTTGTCGACTGGCCAGTCTACTGCTTGGCCTCCTCAGCATTCGCAAGTGCTCGCTAAGAATCCTGACCACCTCGTTTGCTTGAAAAATGCTCCCTTTCCCCTCTTCCCGCTCCTCCACCCTGGGCAAGGCAGATCTAGCCCATGGAATTTACCTGAAGTTTCCTAAAGCTTTAATTTTAAAATACCCGAATAAGAATTGCAGAAACAAGCTGCCGGCTGAGCTACGATGTGTTCTCGTACTCTTTCACTTCACATCGCAGTTCTACAGCTCTAAGGCTAACAACAATTCTTCGGGGCTTTTTACAGAGCTACAGCGATTCTGAGCTTGTTTATATTAAAAAACAACCCACAGGTGTATGATATAGTTTTTGCTGATTTAGGGGACAAGGTTGGTATTGTGCTATTGAGCCTACAGAGTCACAGGTTCAAATCCAGCTCATTAAAATAGTGACTGACACTTGGGACCGTCTGAGGGCTGTTTGGTGGCGGTGTGACCTGAGCAGGTAGTCTTAGGTCATTTCCCAGACAGTGGACCCTTGTCCATGTCACAGTTGGAACTGGCCCTCTTTTTTTTTAATAGTCTCAGCAGAGAGACCAAGGATTGAATGGGCACAAATACTCTTCCCCCGACAGGTGATGCTTGGTTGAGGCATGCTGACTGGGCATTGTGGGAAAGCTTGCATTGCTACTCTTGGTCCTGTAGATTAGCAGAGAGAGTCAATTTCTAGGGCTGTCAGTTTGGCACATTGCACAGCGCTAAATTCTGAAGAAGAACCTTTTAAAGAGCAGTACTTGCTAAAGGGGAAAGAGCATTTTCCAGAAAAGATTTTAAAAAAACAACCACCCTAAAACCAAAATGTAACCATTGAGGTATATTGCAGCAGCCTCCTTTATTGTATAAAATGAGATGTATATTTTTCCTAATCACTTTAGCTCTGCTTTGGAAGCAAATGATGTTGGTGTTGATCTACAAAAGGCAAGGGACATATTTGATGAGCTAACCAAAAAGGAGTGGATCGTTAACCAGGTAAAACATCTCGCAAGTTTTTGTGCAAATTACACTCCGGGTATAACTTAATTTAACAGGGGGTCCGGGTGCACAGGCTCGGTACTCTGGGATTGCTCTGAATGAAGTTGAGACAGGACCCTCTTGTAGTGTGACACCCTGCATGGCGCACACTCACGAGGGCACAACTCCGTGGCTTCAGCATCTCCTGCGTCTGACCTTGGAGTCTCAGCACTCATTTCATGCTGTGAGCTCCCTGCAGTGAATAGGGTACCTGGGAAAGCCTTCCACACACCCCCAGGGGCCGTGCACCCCCAACTTCGCAGTCAGCAATGCCTCTCAGCCAGTGTCATAAAACAGAAGAGTTTCTTAGTCATCTGGAACACAGCACAGAACAGATCTTCTTAGCACAGAAAGTAGGAAGATTCAGCAAAGTCCATTTTGGGGAAACCTAGAGCCTGGGGCTCTCCCCCCATGTCCCAAACCAGGAGACTGACTCGCTTCCCGCAGCCCACCCTCAGTCACGTCCAGTTGCTCCTCCTCCATCTTTTGATCTGTTTCCAGGCCTTCTTGCAGAGGGTGGGGCCTGGCTATCAGTTGCCAGGACACAGAGTGTCTGTCCATTGTCTGGGCCCAGGGTGCCAGGCGGCAGTCACATCTGCCCTCTAGGGTCTCTGCACGATCACCCACCCTCGTCCCACCACCTAGATACTTGTGCAACATATAGGGGAAACCGAGGCACACACAGTATTCCAACAAAACATTAAGTAAATTCCCACTTCATCACACAGGGAGCTACTGATTAATTTGTTAATTAATTAACTTGCAAGGGAATTTTTCTCTGTGTGTTTGGGGAAGACATGAAGGGTCTGTAATGCTATCTGCCAGAGTTGCTCAGGACAAGCGTAGGATCCAAACTGCTCCCTGTGCAGTGATGCGTTGCACGTGGATATGCTAACACATGGACTCTCCCGATAGGCTGTTAATTTCCCTAAACCTCTCATCTCCCAAAGTCTTCACCTCCCAAGTATGAGGAATTATTTTTAAACATAAAAAAGAGGTAGCTGGCAAGTATATGAGAGGATGGGGACAACTCTTTATCCCAGGCCTAAATCTCCTCGCGTGTGGTATAATGTCAAAAGTATTTCTGTTTTTTAACACCATGACTTTGCAATTGGGAGGTAGACAAGAAACAGAGCAGCAGCACAACTTCCAAATAATTTGGATAGTTTAGGGATTTGGGCCAGTAAGTGGCTCATCATCTCTGAATAGAAAGGTGCAAAATAGTACTTCGGAGTCAGTTTTAAGGCACAATTGACAGTATGTATACAACAGCTCTAACAAACAAACCTCTCTTCATCCCTTTTTACCCCAATTTTAACATAGATTATTTTTTATTTTAACTACATCTGAACTCTGACTGCATTGAATGTTTTAAACTCTACATACAAAACTCTCCTGCAAAGTTTCAAGTCCAGCATTATGCCAGGTAGAAAGTATTGGCCGTATATTGCACTGCAAATCATTCTCTAAGTGCTTTCTCTCCTCCACCTTTATTTATTTTATTTTATTGCATATAGATAAATTACTATCTGTTGGCTGAACTGATTCCTGGTCTTCCACTGCGTTCTCCTCATCAGGAGGCTTTATCTGTTTTCCTACTCCTGCCAGAATGCTCTGTGATGTACAAAGAACAGAACTTGGAGCCTTTTGTTATGCAACTTGCGCAGGCCATTAATAGCATGAGTGACCGTTCCTCAAACATACTGGGTAAGGTTGTTTCGCTTTGAGCATGAGGAGAAGCCACTGCCTGAGATGGTAACTTCAGCACACATTTTAAAATGACTTAATTAGGACATGGTTAACATACTGGTGCAAACATACAAAGTGATAACTTTTGCCTCTTCACTTCACTACTTGTAGATAGTGGTGCTGTCCCAAAATCTTTGTGTGTGTGTGTGTGAGAGAGAGAGAGAGAGTTATTCTCTCACACAATTTTTGTTAGTTAGATCCAAAGGTGCTAGACTGCATAGTCAAATCAATGCAAACCCTAAAAAGCAAGGAAATAATATATTCTACACTCCATCTACACTCTACTCCTCAGTTCTTCTTCTCAATTTCATGTGCATCTTTTCCACAACTCACAGACCATATATCTCCGCCTTCATCCTAAACAACCAGTGGGCTCCCTTCTTGTTGTTGTTTGTACTACCAGGTCTAGAAATCCTAGACACACAAGCTCCTGGTCCATGGGGCACTGTACGCACAGAACAAAAAGACAGTCACTACCCCAGAGAACTTACAATCTAATTATAAGACCAAATAAATTAGGTGGACACAGACAGACTGGAGAGCATAGGAAACAATGAGATAATATTGATCAGCGTGATAGCCAGTGGTCTCAGCACATCAGTAGCCCAGTTGTTGTCAGGGATTTATAGGCATCTTGGCAGTGGGGTTTTGAAGGAGGATAATGAGGTAGCTGTGTGGATGTTTATGGTAAGCATTCCCAAGCCTTCGGGGCAGCGTGGGAGAAACATGAAGGTGCTTGTTTGAAAGTTTAACAAGGGAACAGTGGAGGCTGGCATCATGGTCCATTTGGAGGCAGGACTTAACTTTTTGATACTGAATGAGAGGGTAGGGTAGGGATAGATTGTGAAGGGCCTTGAAATTAAGGACAAGTAACTTATGTTTGATACAATAGAGAAGAGGGAGCCAGTGGAGAGGGACTCAGAGAGGGGTGACAAGAGCCTTTGACGGACTAGGAAAATTACCCTTGAACTCTGACTGTTTATTGGCCTGGAGTGGTCATAAGTTCACATGATTAGGTTTGGTATTGCTCTCATCTGCTGTAGTTTTGTATGTGTGTTTTATATAAGTGGGTGTAAATAGCTGAAATATGGTGTCTGATTGCATTTAGTGGCTGCATTGTTTCCCTCCAAAACCACGTTGCATTAAAAAACACTTTGAATCATGTATCATTCATAAAAATGCAAGCTGAAAGGTGTGTTTGTGGAGGAAGGCTGGGATGTGTGTGTTTCTTTAGAGATTTTTGTTTCGTTGTTTTTTTGGCTGGGGAGTTTCATTTACATGAATATTTTCCCCTTATATTTCAGAAAAATGCTGGACGTCGTTGTCAGCATCCTTTTTGGACAATGTGGTGCAGATGTTTAAAAAGGTTGTAGTATCTCAGCTGCCATTTTACGCTTCTCCCCGTTGCCGGGACACCAAACCTCTCCTAGAAGTGCTTGAAAAGCTGTACAGGGTAAGCATGTCTAGTCTGAATAAATCCATAGAGAATCATCACTGTTTCTAAGCAAACATGTGCATCTTAACCCAAATTTTATTCCATTTCAAGGCAAACAGGAAGGCTAACTACACACTACAGTTAAGCAATTTTTACATAGATGAAATCTCCGGGACATTTATTCCAACCGACGTAGGAAGGTGGCGCTCATGGCAAATTACAACTGTAAGTATGACATTGTACCGTCTCCTGGTTATTCCAGAGTTTCTAAGGACAGTGGATGGTTAAAAGACAGCAGTTGCGCCTTCGTTTTTTATTGTTGTAACACCTAGTATCTCCAGCTGAGATGCAGGCCAGACTGTGCCAGGCTCTAAACAGCCGCTAAGCAAGAGACAGCATCTGCCCAGAAGAGCTCACAGTCTAAATAGAGAAACACACACAACCCTGGGAGGGGATATAGAGGCACAGAGGGTTGAAGGAATAGAACCTTGGTTTCCTGACTCCCAGTCCAGTGTCAGAACCACTACCTCTGAAATTTCTAACCTTCATGTTAACTCCATATTGTAGCTGTGTTTTGATTTTTAAGTCTGGGTTTAGTTGCAGTACTGGTTGGTGGGGGAAATGGGCCCCAGGACCTGCACGTGATGCACAGCAGCTAATCCAAAGGGGTAGAGGGACTGTTATAATTCTCTCCTAGGCAAGAAGGGGAAGGAGACTGCAGTCTTGCAGTGCCACTTCTTTGTGTGTGGGGACGGGGAAGAGAGGGAATCAATGAGTTAAGAGTGCGGAAACTGGGACTTACCTGTTTTATTTTTAAGTATTCAAAAGATATGTACCATTCTCATTGGTAGAATTCGTGTCATGAAGACGACGTTCCCGTCATATTCTGCCGTTTCCCTTTTATCTTTAACTTGGTTTCCAAGACTCAAGTGTTCCACTTTGATTCATTTTTCATGCAAGAGGTATGACCTGGTCTCTGTATACTCTGAGAAACAGTCTAGGTTGGTTTGTTTTTTGTGCGCCACAAAACTACAGTGGCATTACAACCCCAGGAGCATGTGCTAAAGTGAAGGACTTAGAATCTATTCACTTTTTTTTTCCAAACTAAGGCTATGGCTAAACTACAGAGCTTACAGTGGTGCAGCTGTAGCGCTGTTAGTGCAGAATCTATGCTGACAAGAGGGAGCTCTCCCATCAACTTAATGACTCCAGCCCCCGCGAGTGGCAGTAGCTTTCCATAGCTCTGTGCACACCAGCACTTAGGTCGATGTAACTTACGTCACTCATGGGGGTGGCATATTCACACCCCTGAGCGACATAACTTATACTGACTTAGGCTATGGCTACACTACAGCTTAAGTAAAGTATTTTCGTGACCCAGCACTTGCTATCAGTGGCAATATAAAGTATTTTGCTGGAGATGTTTATATTTTGTTCTTGGGGAAAATGGCATTGGTTGTTCAAATAGTATACTAACATGATCGACTCTGTAACATGACATGGGGCAGTGTGGTTTTAGATTCGGGGTGGGGGAGGAAAAGAACTTGTAACGGAGCTTGGGAGCATTGTCTCCCAGGACAATTATTTGAAAATACACCTACAGGTCAGTGGAATTTAGTCAATTATAAGGAGGGGGAGGGGATTTGTCCTAATTTCCCTGTCGTTTGGTGGCAGAATTTTAACAAAGGGCTTCTGGAGCCTCGGCCAGCACCTAGCTGCTTTTCCTATAGGAGAAGAGTAGTTCCCCCTACATGAGAATTATTTAGATCTTATTAAGTGTGCCACGCTGTGTGAGCTTTCCGAACCCGGGGGGGTCGGGGTCTGACCAGGCTCAGGACTCTGCCTGTGTGGATTGAATTGCAGGATTTGGGGCCATTCTGATGTAACAAAGAACGGAATTTGCAATTGAACATCAAAAGTTACTCCTTTGAACATCACTTAAGTCTTCTTTTACCAATGGGTGTTTTGGTTTGCTATAGAGAGACAAGGTGGGTGAGGTAATATCTTTTATTGGACCAACTTCTGCTGGGGAGAGAGAGACGCTTTCGAGCTTACACAGAGCTCTGGGGAAAGGTATGCAAAGTGTCACCACTAAATACAAAGATTTAGCATAAGCAATTACCACATTTCAAGGGACCATACCAGGTGAAGTGTCCAGTTAACACCCTCCAGTCATGGGGGCTGTGAGTGGGGGGGCATTTAGTGGGTTATAGATTGTTGCAATAAGCCATAAATCAAGTGGTTTGCCATAGTCATTTCTGTCATGTTTTCCTGGAAAATGACTCTTTTGATATGGAGTTCATTCACATTTTCATCTAACTCTCCTTGTAAAAGAAGTTCTAATTATGCTGTATGACGTGAATACCACTTACTTCTAACACAGTATGTTTCAAATGAAAGAAAATGGGTGTGCAGTGCAATAAATTAGTGGCTAGAGCTGGGCAAATGTCACATAGAGGAGAAAATGTTTCACCCATTATCAATGCAGTATTTTTTTCAGGCAAGATGCTGGAAATATAGTTATATATTCATTTTTTTTAGGGTGCGAAGGTAGAAGCCCAATTCATACTGAAGCAGAATGAACTGCTGAGAAAGAGTGAGCTTCCTGAGTTGCCTGTTTTTCCTCTGCAAGTTAAACGCAGCAACCTGGTTGAAGATACTTTACGTAAACTAAGTCTGGTGGAGGACAGTGTCCTGAAAAAGCAGTTGTTGGTATGGTGCCCAGTCATGTTCTTCCTACTTAGCAATACGAGGGAGATTAGAGAGAAACTGTATAACTGGTTGGAATTAGGGCTGATTGAAAAATTTCCGTTGCAACTGCCTCTCAATTACCTGAAATTATTTCCGAAAATGGCCTGCTTGCCACAGAAATGTCACGTTTTAGTTGGGGGGAAAAATGAAAACTTTTTGGGTGAAAATTCAAAAACATTTTAGTTTCAGTTTATGATGAAAACTCAGAATTTTCCATGAAAGAAAAAACATTTTCTGATCAGCTCTAGGTAGCATGCACCTGAAGACAGGTGCCTAATTAGCTAATTAGCAAGGATCGGTTTCAACGCATTAGGCAGATTTATATACTCGGTTACCCTCGACAGCTTTGAAAATTTTAACCAGGGTTTTGAGATTTTAACCATATGATCCCCCCCATTAACAAAGATCAATTACTGCAAGGTTTGTGGTCTTACATCTGCACGATAGTGAACATTTACCCCTCTCTGTTAATACTTCCTGCCCTTGGATCAGTATGATACCACAGCGTGTGGTTCTTCATTAGAATGCAGGCTGACTTGGTGTGCCTTGTCTATTGCTTTGTCATGGGACCTCAGAGGGCTGGCGAGTTCAAAAGCCAACTTCAGCTTATCTTGAGGGGGAAAAAAAGAGAGCAGTGTGTCTCTAAGCAGACATAACGTGTACTGTAGCAGTGTGTTGTGGACATCATTTTTCAGAAGGTAGAGAAGGGAAACGAGGTGAGTCAGAGTTCAAAAGAGAGGTGAGAATGGCAATTTGTAAGAGCGGGAATGATGAAGTCTTCACAAATCATCCCTTTGCAGAGTTGTTCCTGCTCTGGTCTTGGAAAGGGCTGATTCTTTCAAACCCTAAAGCTGTGCATACGCTGCACTTAGTAGTTTGACTCCGGCACTAAGGGATGAATGTGGTGTTGACTGCCCCATTTCTGGGGGAATAGTAGTCTGCATTGACTTTGGAACAACGGCTACGAAGAATACCCATCTTTCTCTATGTTTCTGCAGGTGCAATTTGAAGGGGAGTTGAGGGGCCTGGATGCGGGCGGAGTGACGTTAGAATTCTTCCTGTACGTATTTGAAGAGATGGTGGATCCACAATATGGGATGTTCGTGTATTGTGACCCTGCGTCCCCAATGTGGTTTCCTACCAGCGTAAGTCAGAATCTGCTCAAGCCATTCAGGGTCAAGAGACAAAGGAAGTAATTTGCATTTTGACTCCAAGCTTCCTTACCTTCTGCCCAGTAGCTGGAGTTGGCAGGGGAGGGTCTTGGAAGGCTGTGGCAATTTTCCAGAGAAGAGGGTCTGTACCACCTGGGTGTTTTATATTGCGGAATTGGAGAGGGTTCAGAGAATGATTGGGTGCGTGGGAAAACTCGTATGCAGAGAGATTGCAAAGACTGGGACTTAGTTGACCGTAGAAAGGAGTTAAATAGGAAGGGACATGATTAAAGCATGTAAATCAATTAATGCTCTATACATGATAAATCGTGAGCTTTGTTGTCTTTTCTCACAACACAAGAACAAGGGGACGTTCAACGAAACTGAAAAGTATTGAAGGAAATAATTTTCCATTCAGTGAGTAATTGGACTGTGGAGTTCTCTGCGGCCAAGAATTTAATGAGATTCAGAAAGGGACTGGACATTTATATGGATTACAAGTTTATCCAGAGTTATAATCGTACAAATACTAGTTTTAAAGGGATACAAATATCATGCCTCATGTTTTACGTCATTCTCTAGATATTAGGGATTAGGATGAGATCGTTATGAGAGGCAGATTCTACCTCCTGTGGGGGTTCTTGCTGCTTCTGACTAGCGGGACTTCTGATCCAGGTCTGGCAATTCCTGTATTCCTACAAGAAATATTTTCTAAGAAATAAAGTTAGAGAACGTTAACCACTCAGATTATATTTTCTGTCTAACCTCAGTAATTAGCCAGACCACAGCAGTGTGTGGATTACTGTGCTCTGTACTGAAACTTACCATTAGTAATTGTACAAATTGTAACTGATCATCAGAGTGCATCTCTGAGAGTTCAGGTGAGCTGCAGTCAGATGGGAGACCAGTTCCATGGTTCTAGAATTCTGAATGACTGGTGTTCCCAGGCTAACTACAAGCATAGTCAAAAACAATTAAATTCCTACAATCAGTGGCAACTCTTCAAGTGGCCATATGCTGCTTTTGTACACTTTATACCGCAGTTGCCCAATTTATTCTGTGTCCTTACTCCTTTGTGATATTTAGTTTTAGTGCTCAGCAAAATCTATTTTTGTCAGGGAGGGGGAAGAAAAAAGGTAAATTCCTTCACCCCAATTTCCAAATAAATGTGAACCAAAAAAGGGAAAGACTTAATGCACCAAATAAAGTCTAAAAGAGGGCTTTTCAAGATAATTTTGCTCAGTAATTGCCTTTGGTTTGCACTCTGTGAAGTGATAGTGTGACACACACCTCTTGGCCGATGCACCGGGGATTAAAAGCATGAACTGCTACAGTTAAAGAGCCAAGGTGTACTCGGTGGGCCTGTAACGGACTCTTATCCTTTGCAGATGAGGCACAGAGTGAGACCTCTAACACGTTCCCCAGTGAGACACAAGAGGTCAATGAAATCCACTGATGGCATATGTGTGGCTAATGCATGCCCCAAAGTTGCCAGATGCCCTCTCTTTTCCAGTAGCCTGATTCAGTCCTCCTTAAAGAGTCTCATTAACTTCAGAGGATCTTAGATTGGGCTTCAAAACAGGAGCAGACCTCTTATTCCAGTTGTCCCCGCTACTTAGGGCTCTGTCCTACTCCCATTTTTTTTCAATGGGAGTTTTGCCATTGACTTGAATGGAGCAGGGTTGAGCCTTGGGGAGCATCAGAAGGTTCTGGTGGGGTTTCTTTAAACATAGTTTCAGCTCTTCTTAGATGACTGATAGGTTTTGTTGTTGCTGATTTTGCTTTTTCTTAATTACCATAACAAAAATGTTTTAAAAATGTGCAGTGGGAGTTAAATTTTGCATCGATTGACCTTGACATGATGCTCCTTTAACTAGTATAAAAAATTCTGTAATTAATGTTTTTAGGGCTCAAAAATGTACCAAAAGATTTACGTAAATTTTGTCTTTCCGATCTCGCCTTTCTGGCTTGCTTGTTTGTTTTTTGTTCCATCATGACCTACTACTTACTTGGTTCTCCAGTTATAATATTTCAACACTTGGATTTTTTTTCAGCCTTCAGTAGAGAAGAAAAAGTATTTCCTCTTTGGGATCCTGTGTGGGCTCTCCCTGTTCAACAGGATCATTGCCTTCATCCCTTTCCCACTCGCTATTTTTAAGAAACTTCTGGATAAGAAGCCTTCACTCGAAGATTTGAAAGAGCTGAGTCCTGTGGTAGGGAAGTAAGTGATTTCAGTTATTGATTCCAGCTGGATGTCTAAAGGAGTTTGTGCATGTACCCACATGTATATGAATGGGCTGGATAGTTTGTTGGCATTCACTATATTGTCTGTAGAGTGGAGGAAGAACAGTCTTGTGGTTCAGACACTGACCTGGGATTTGAGGCAGTGTTCCGTTTCCAGCTCTCCCACTGATTTCCTGTGTGTGACTTGGGGCAAGTCACTTTAATTCTCTGTCTCAGTTTCATATCTGTAAAATGGGATTACCATTTTCCTACCAAGGGGTTGTGAGGATAAATTAGCTAATAGGTGTGAGGTATTCAGGTACTGAGGTAAAGTCGGGGCTATATAAGAACATAGATAGGTGAAAGCATAAGAGTAGCAAATGTTCTGTTATTTTTCTGTGCTTGAGTTCTGTGTCAGGGTCATGCAAGCTGCCTTTGTGAGACTCGCGTTGGCAATAATTTGCCAGCAGCACTGTTGCTCTTAAAATAGACCGTATTGCAATCTTGATCAAATTGAGTTTTATATGCAGTCTCGTAATCGCTTCTCTCTGGACCCACGTTAAGAATGAGGGCTGCTATGACCCACTCTGTAGCATTCCACACTTCGGCCACCCTCGTACCAGGTTGTGTGTCTGGTTTTGCCTATTTTTGTAGTACCTTTCTGTTGGTTGTGATTTGATTTGGGGATTAAGGCCATGCATTATAACAGGAGGAGATGCATTGATGAGTACACCTGGATCCATTTTTTTTAGGGAATCAGTAGCACCTTGAGCCACACAAAGCCCTAACGGTAAAGATCTATCAGACAGCTGCACACCCCGCCCTACGTTACATCTTATCTGCTGTCTGTCTGGAACAGAAGGAGCGAATGTAGCACAGGCAGCTGTGAAATACAACCTATTACATACATTGCGCTGTTGTGAGGATGTTGGCATAAATAAAAGAGCAGAGCCTGAATAGCTTGTGTTGTCATCAAAGCCTAGAGATTCAGTGTTAAGACGGGGGGGAAAAGGACAAATTACAGTTACTAGTAATTGCGCTGGGCAATAAAAACATACATACAAGTGCCGCTTGCATACAAAGCAACTTTTGCTTTATAACATAGAACTCATCTTGACTTCTAAGAAGTTGAAATACCATATGTTTTATGGGACAACCAGACTTGAGATACAGGTTTTTCCTGGACAGATATTGAGAAAACAAAAAATTCCGAGCTTGACCTGCAGGAGGGAAGGGAGACAGAGATTGATGAGAAGAACAGAACTCTGGGGCATACGGTAGCAGAGATGGGGGAAGTGGGTGTAGATTTTCTACTGGTTTTTGAGCCCAAAACTTCTCATGGTGGCCTTTGTCCGTGACACGTATCAGGTTCTTCTATCCATGAGTGCAGAATTTACAATTTTTTGTTGCTTGCGACTGGAAATATGTTTAACTATAGTATTTACTGCTACGGTTAGCATAATTTAATCTACAAACAATCAATTTTTTAATTGTTGTATATTAAACATAATGGCTCATAGTTATTACAAATCAATAATAAATGGTTGAGATTTCACTACTCATGGTGCAGGGTAATTTATCATGTGGCCTGTCATCTAACAATTTATAAGTATATTTTTGTCTTTTTTTTTTTCCTTTAGGAGTTTGCAGGCAGTTCTAGATTATGAGTATGATGATATTGAAGAGAATCTTCAGATACATTATTGTGTGAGTACCTCTGGAAGCCATTATGATACATGTCCACTTCATTTGCTATGCACTACAGTAGTTACAATTGCTTTCACTTTTGAAATGTTGTTCTTTGCTTCACACCGTGAATTGGGCGCTCTTACACTGCTGATGTGGTATTTAGAAGCTTTTCGTGTACTTACTTCAGTCGCTTATTCATTTTTTTTCCTCCCTGCATGTTATCCAGTTTAGGAGACAACGACTGTTCCCTCTGGAAATTCAGAATAAGCCACTATGGGAATGCAAGTCTAGAGTGTCTTTTTATCAGTTCTTTGAGGCAGGGGCAATCTTTTTGTTCTGTTTGTACAGTACCGGGCACAATGGTGTCCTAGTCGGTGACTGGGGCTCCGACATGCTACTGCAATACAAATTATTTTCCCAGCTTCCCAATCTTTGAAAATGAAAACCCCACTTTAAATAAGATACTTGTAGGAACTAACCGATTTTGTTTTAATTATCATAGTCTCTTATTGGAGCGATGAGCCCTTTGGCTCTGAGGCTGGTCTCTTCCAATCACAGTGGGCCAGATCTTGACTTGTTGTAAGCAAAGGCAATTCCATGGACTTCACTAGTGTTGAATTTAGCCCGTTCTAGCCTGTCAATCAATGAGCAAAAGCTCTGTGTATGATAGGGGAGGCCTGGGCTTGAAGGGGAGATGGCAAAGGCAAAAAAGAGGACAGAAATCTTCATGTTTTCTTTAATGCCTAGAAACACACCCATCTGAAAATGACATATAAGAGTTCTACCTGTGCACATTACTGACACACCCATGTCTTTTAATAGTTACAGGAAGTCACTGAAATTGTGGTCACATTTGCACCAGGCACGCATTCTCTCTTGCCACTATAGTGCAGTTTTGAAGGTGATTGGATTAAAGGTTTCTGTAACACGCACAACACCAGTGGGAACTTTGCAGCCATATTGATTTCAAGTACCGTAGTAGGGAATTGTTTAATGGAGAGAAGGTTGCCTGGATTGTTGCCTCTTCTCACAAGAATGTTTTCATGGTTTCAGGTGTCGTGGGACAACAAGGAAGTAGACCTGATTCCAGATGGCAGTTCCATAGCTGTGAACAACAAAAACAAGTATCTTCATGCAGATTGGTTTATTTAATTCTAACTGGTGGGCCTTTTACAACCGGGCCTTTCACAACCAGGCCTCAGAGTCAGAGCATCTGTCCAGCTCTTTACAATAGTGTCCTTTTAAGTACTGCAGTTCTCAGTACCTCCATGCCAATGATAATGAGGCAAACTCTCCTAGCTGGGAGAGCAGGGATAAGGTGGAAGGTACAGGAAAAGATAAGCTTAACACTTACAAACACCCCCGTATAGAGACCTGAGCCTTTGTCCCTCTCACCATCCTCTGCATGGAAGGCTGGGAGTGAATACATGTCTCCTTTGTTCAGTCCCAGACTCCTCTCTCTAGTGAGGTTATGTGAACCCCTGACTTGTCACCTGATGAGCTGATTTAAAACAATTCCTCCTTTGGCACGTGTCTGTGAGAGACGCACCAACATTTCCCCGAAATGCATGTGTGCAATTGCATGATACTGGGCCTCTCTCCCTAGAACTGGGCAGTCTAAAGGCACTTGTTGAGACTTTACCCACTTCAGGCTCCCCATCAGGACACAATCGTTTTTGCCATTTTGTTACAAACTCAGGGCCAGATCCTGTGAGTATTGAGTGTAGCTCTTACTGTCATGAGTAGTCACTGGGACTATCATGATTTCAGTTCGCAGTAGTAAGCAATAAATCCAGCAATAAATGTTTGGAGGGTCAGATTCTAAAGTACTTCCTACCCCTGGGACACGACATATAAGAACGGCCATACTGGATCAGACCAAAGTTCCAGCTAATCCAGTATCCTGTCTTCTGACAGTGGCCAATGGCAGGTGCCCCAGAGAGAATGAACAGAACAGGTAATCAAGTGATCCATCCCCTGTCACCCAGTCCCAGCATCTGGCAGTCAGAGGCTTAGGGATGCCTAGAGGCTGGGGTTTCATCCCTGATCATATTGGCTAATAGCCATGGAAGGACCTATCCTGCATGAACTTACCTAGTTCTTTTTAGAACCTCAGTAGAAACTTTTCTCTTATAACCATCTTTTGAAACTATTATCTGAGCCATTAAATGAATGTCTCCCTCTTCCTTAGCATCAAAGGAATGTCAGTCAGTTTAATTCTAACAAGGAGAAAAATACTTTTTAAAAAAAATTACAGGAAAAAATGGTGTGTCAAACTGTATCTGAATAAAAGCTATTCTTATTACTATTGTATTGCTGTGAGGTGAGGAGCAAGGTGACCAGGCAAATATATTTACTGTCCTATGTGTATGAAGAGAAGAATATTGTGTGTGAGCTAACCAATGTCTCTCTTTGGTTCTGTGAAGGAAGGACTTTGTCAACAAGTATGTGGATTACGTCTTCAACAAATCTGTGGAGGTAGTTTATGAGGAGTTCAAGAGGGGATTTTATAAAGTCCTGGACAGAAAGATACTTAGATTCTTCCAGCCTCAAGAACTGATGGAGGTGGCAATTGGAAATGCTAATTATGACTGGAACAAATTTGAAAAGGTATGAAGGGAACAGAGGAAAGAATCTTCTCCAATATCATTCTGATTTATCCACTGAGTGTCACTTCTTTAGAGTAAACATTTTTCCTTTGTTCCATTTTGAAGAATGCTGTCTACTGGGGAGTGTACACTCCATCACACCCCACCATCAAAATGTTCTGGAAGGTTTTCCATGAGCTTACAGTGGTACAGAAGAAGGGCTTTCTCTGTGAGTATCATGTCCACCAACAGATTGGTTTATTTCTCTCAAAAATTCAACTAATGAAAAATCTTTCAAAATAGAGTAGTTACCATGAGCCACTCTTCCTTGAAGTAGAATTGACTGCTCTGGGGTTCTACAAAGTCTGTCCCGACATGTACAGTGTCCAAAGATTCTGTGCAGTAAAAGTGACTTCTGAATGAAATACTCCCATTGACATCAGTGGTGCTAAACATGCACATAAAGGGCCTGATCCAAAGGCTGCTGAAGTCAATGAGACTATGCATATGTGCAATGTTTGCAGGATCAAGGCCTTAGACTGTAAGCATCTCAACTGCAGGGACTTTGTCTATCTGTTTGCCTTTAAAGCGCTATTCATGCCTATGGGGCTATATAAATAATTTGAATATCATTCTGAAACTGTACCATTCTGAAAAGCATTATTGGAGATAAGTTTATATGAAATGTGCTATGGTAAATATTCCTCAAATGCCCATCACTTTATAAAAGGTAACTTGAAATACATACTTCTAACTCTTCTTCCAGCTGAAATCTAATTCTGTTCTGCTCTGTAGTGTTTCTCACAGGAAGTGACCGAATCCCTGTAATGGGAATGGACTGTATAAAGATAAAGTTCAACCAACATATGACTATGTCTGAAGATCACATCCCTGAAGCACAGACCTGCTATCACATCCTGATCCTCCCACAGTATTCTACAATAGAAAAACTCCAAGAGAAACTTCTTCTAGCGATCGATAACAATCGGGGGTTTGGCAAAAATTGAGTCACAAATATGCACAACATGCATCAGAAACAGAAATGCTCCCTAGTCTCTTGATTCTGGATTCCTTCCTCCAAAATTCCCATTGGAATCAGGCCAGTAGTACAGTCTCTTCCCGATACAGGAGAAAAACTTTGGAATAATTTAAACACCACTTACAAAAATGGGTTTGTTTGCTTTTGTGTTAAGTCTTCAGTGGCAATTCCCAAACACCCTTGTTCAGGAGTGTCAGAATTATTTAGGGTCTCACTAACGTGAAGAAACAGATTAAACCCAAATAATATCTATATAAGTTTAATGGTTTGACTAAGCCTCAGCAAAGCAGAAAAATGTAGAGCATAATCTAAAATAGGGTTTATAACAGAAACTGTGGCACACTCTAACACTAGTCCAAAACTGTAGTGCTATAGGATGAGAATTTAACTGCCATATATTGAAAGCTTCTAACCAACAAACTATATTAAATTACTGCTATATCACTTAAATCTCAAATTAAAAAAATACTCTGACCATTCAGTGTATACATTTTGTATTAGAAACTCCATAAAATATTGTCTTCAAGTATATGGGAAGAATAGAGAGTAGTTGTATATGTTACAATCAAATATTATTAACCCTGCACTGTATTCATAGAATATCAGGGTTGGAAGGGACCTCAGGAGGTCATCTAGTCCAACCCCCTGCTCAAAGTATTAAAAGACAACTTCAAAGAAAAAGATAAAATATCAGTGTCCAAGGAATTATTTTCTTAGTTTTCAACCTAATATAAAATTATAACCCGTCTACTGCACCCAGCAGATCAAACAGCGAGTTCCAGTTTATAACCTTAACATTAGTTGTTTGTCAAATTTCACTAGCTTCATGATAACTCTACCAGTTCTTAAAGCCATTTTGACCTACTTTTTTTTGGTAGCATCTTGAGGTAAAATTCTCTGGCCTCATTTTGATGTTAGCAACTTGCAAACGCTATTCAATATAATGTAGTAAGAGTGATATTGCATGTGAATAATTCTGACCTATTTGGTGGTTGGGTGAGCAGGGTGAAAAGAATGCTAATGAAGAAAATACATTTGATGGGATAAAGTTCTGTAATATTTTTGCAATAATGGTGTTTCTACTGTATTTAGATAAAGACAATGTAAACGTTTAGGTCCACATTATATCACTGATGTTTAAGTAGAACTCCCCATTGAAATCAATTAAATCTACTTAAAAAGCAATTGCATCACATGGCCTTTTTGTTCTTAGTATTTAGCAGCACAGAAGTCTGATTTCCTTGGTCTGACTGCTAGTTGCATGTAGTTTGCTAATGAAAGTCGCATCAAATAAAATTGTAACCCGCTTTTATTTCCTTCATTCTTCACATTGGCTTTATTAGTAAGGAAGTCAATCATCTGGTCCTGTAGGCATTTCTCTAGCGAAAAAAGGGATTGAATGACCTGCCTCTATTGTATGCATGATGGACATCTGAGGAAGGGACCTGGGGAAAATAAAGGGATTAGTCATGGAAAAGAATATAAAGGAGAGTAGAGGTAGTCACACTTCCTGCTTGGGCCCAGACTCAGCAAGATATTTAAGCACCTGCCTGGCTTTAATTACATGAGTTACCCCCATTTATTTCCGCTCACATAGTTGCTTAGAAATGATGCAGGAGGATTAGTAAAAAGTTTGCAGTTTGACAAGATCTTGAACTTCTAGAAATAATTAACAAAGTCATATTGCAGAGGCACAAATGGCAATTTTCTATGGTGTATAATTAAGTGAAATAGATACATTTTCACAGAAAAAGGCACATCATCACTTCTGCTACATCTGTTAACTGCTCCCTACCCTGAGGACCAAGGACTGCTTAAAAGAAAAAGCAGGAAAACTCAATATTCACATATTGTTCATTGACCTCATTCCTGCAAGTGGATGAACTGTTTTTGATCAGACTTTCCAAAAAAGTTCAACCTGAGACAGGCACAAAGCATGGAAAATTTCCGCCCTAAAGGTTAAAGTTTATCTTCTGGAAACTGGGAGTTATAACATTATAGTGTTAAGCAAACCTTAACTATAGACATTACTACTGTGCTGCTTGTAATCTTAGAAGTTTAATAGTCAACACAACATTCTCTTTGTTTGCAGAAGGGTGGCATTTTTTGATGGGGGAGAGACAACTGTTAAAAATTGCTCTTCACTGGACTGAGGCTGAGAATCAGTGGGAGTATGCATCCTTAATAAACTGCAACTCCAGGGCTGAGGGGTGGAGGTGGGGAGAAATGCAAATTCAGATGGATGAGAGAAACCTCTGTGTTACATCTCACACACACGTTCTCTGGCCTGGTCTGGTTTCTGAACAGTATTAGAGAAACAACTCAAAAACAGCATCCATTTGTGTGTTCTGCTCTGGCCCAGGGGCTGTATTTTCTAAGTCAAGTCTCTGCCATCCTTCAGAAGTTGGCTCAGGGGCAGAAAATAGGTGTGTCAGTGAAGTAAGACTGGAAGTTTTCATCCATCAGAATGTTCATCTTGGGGGGTTCACTTGACCTGTAGAGAAGATGGCTGCCTGATTCCAGGTCTCCTAAATCCCCACACACTAATCCTCGTCAATTAAGGGCTCCCAGGTATCTAGACAATAACTTTCTGTCCGAAATGTATTAACTAAACAAGGGGGACCCTTTTTGTTGTGTTTTTATGGATCCTGCTGGGACAAATAGAAACACCACATGAGCCAAGCCTGAGTCTCCAAAGAAAGAAGGCAGAGGAAACGAAGCAGTCTCTCTCACACAACTCGGCAGCTCTGAGGGACTTTCGAACTACCATATTTGATCTTTTATCTCAAGATATGCATGAGCTCTCTAAAGATTCAGGAGAAGTGAAAGCTCGTTTCACCTATTCAGAAAACGAACTATGAAAAACTGCCATAGAATTGAAGGAAGTTAAAACAGAGAATGTTTCCTTAAGGCAAAGACTAACCAGTCTTGAGAAGAAACAAGAAGATCTTGAAAACCGATCATGCAGGAATAATTTGTGGTTACTGGGCATCTCTGGAGGGCTGGGAGGAAAAACATGATTAGCTTTCTCCAGAACACACTCTCTGAGGTAATGGGATTGGGTCCCATTTTGCCTCCCCTAGAGATTGGAAGTGCCCATCAAGTGGTAGGGGCCAGAAGGAGAGAGAACAATAATAACTCCAGACCCATCATCTTTAAATTGCTAAGGGTTAATGACAAAGTTAAGCTGATGTCTGCTGCTAGGCAAAAAGGATTTTTTTATAAGGATTTTAAATTTTCTTTGTATCCAGACTTCTCTGCAAATTTAACCAAGAAGACAGCAGTATTTAATGGCATCAAATGCGCTCTCACGGGGTCAGATATTAAATACAGCCTCAAATAGACTGATATCTTCATAACAAAGTTGACAGACTCTGTGAAATACTTCAATATCCCATTGGATTCTTGGCAAACACTACAGGACTCAAAACTAGATCTTGCTAACAGCATGATCTTGGCCTATGTAGGTATTTTGGTAAATATAGGTATATTTCTGGCGGATTCTTAATTTGTATTGTGTACGGGGGAAGGGAGGATTGGTGCAGGCATACACTGCCTAGAATCTGGACATGCCCATATTGGAAATCTGGGATGTTACAGGGATGGAGGATTGTATGGAGTGTGGTGTTTTTGTTTTATGGAGAGGCACTTGGAGGCTATCAGTCTACTGGGCATCAATCAGCAGCTGAACAATCACTGATTTTTCATGAGCCGTATTTAAAGTTTTGTTCCTGGAATGCACAGTGGCTTAATGAACTCTCCAAGAGAAGCAAAACTTTGAGGCACTTAAAATCAAATGGAGGTCTCATAGTTTTCCTTCAGGAGACCCATTTAAGGAATGAAGATGCAGACAGAATTTAAAAACTGAGTGGGAAGGTGAATATCACTCCTTTTTCAACTCCAGGTGAAGGGAAGTAGTGATATTAATCCACAAGAACCTAATTTTTCAACGTATTCTGTCATGAGTGGCTCCAGAGGACAGATACATCATAATTAAAGGCATTTTCAATGCTAAGAGATTAATTTTGGGGAGTGTATGTAATCCTATTGGTGAGAATGCACCCTTTATCGCAGAAAAACCGGACATTATTTCCAACGGAACTAATGTCCCAGTGGTACCAGGAGGAGACTGGAATGGTGTCATGGATGATATTGTAGACAAATCTCCGTACTCTAAGCAAAAATCTCAGGCCTTTGCAAACTATCCATTATCCCTGCTGAAAGAGAGTGGACTAATGGATGTTTGGAGACTGAAGCATCCTACAAAGGATAATTACACATTTCTTTATGGTTCATACTTCCTATTCCAGATTAGATTTTTTTATGATATCTAAGGTACTAGCTTGTAGAGGTGTAAGTCAGTAATATTATCATCTCTGATCATGCTCCAATTTCTGTTCACATAGATATTGGTTATAGTGCTACAAGATCCTCAAGATGGAAGTTAACACACATCTGCTTAGAGACCCTAAATTTCTTTAGATGATTGAAACCTCCATTACAAACTTGTTAAAAGAAAATACAGATACTGTCTCCTCTACTACAACTTTATGGGATGTACTGTAAAAGAGGAGGAGCTAAACATCTCCATTTCCTCTGACAGGTGGGATCATATCTGGCACAATATATGAGAGCATCCAGTTCTCTTTTTTTGCATTTCTTTCAGAATAAAATTTTAATTAGCTATTATTGGACTCCGGGGCAACTGCATAAAGCTGTACTCACCCTGCATAGTAACTGCTGGAGATGTGACAGCACCTGTGCAAACCTGTCTCCTACATTCCTTGAATGTCAAAGTATATCCACATTTTGGAGGAAAGTGTGTGGTGCTCCATCTAAGGTGACTGGGGTAGGGGTTTGCCCTACTTCAAGCCTCTGTGTTTGGGACATTCTAGAAAATCTACCTGTTCCCCTGATGGCAGGAAACAGGATTGCTGCAGGACTTTAGAGAGGCCAAAAGAGTCAGTTTACAAAAATGGAAATCTGGTATTCCCCCAACATTCTCTGAGTGGCTGACAGCTAATCAACACCGTCCTCTTGGAAAAACTGACAAGCTACGGAGACACACGAACCAACTATCAAGACACTTGGTCTTTCATGGAAGTGTTACAAACTGTTTCCAGGTAGATTGGGCTTCTGAAGCTTCTCCTTTTTGTGGCGGTGGGTAGGGTGGTTAGGGAATTATTTTTCTTATAACACTTAGGCCAGGAGTATTTATGAATATTTCATACTCTGCTATTGTTAAATCCATACTCCTGCTGTGTTTTCTTTGTCATTGTACTTGAATATGGCTGTATGGATCTGTTAGAACTTCTGAAAGATGGGAAAAAATAAGAATGTTCGACTTCTCATCCCTGCTCCAGGGGATGCTGTTGGTGAGACATGACAGAAATGCCCAGAAATTGCACCAGACACATAGAAATGATGCTTTTCTTCTGGTTGCTTTTACTGAAAGGAAGGGGGAGCGATAAATCCTACCGCTGTAATGTCCAAATTTACCACGGGGTGGTCCGAAAGGGCTGCATTTTCTGACACACTACAAGCCACTGAGTCGTTGCCATAATAGATTGGTTGTCTCTGCTGGAGATAATGAATTGTATCCGCTCAGCCACCCAGCTAAAGAAACTCTGGCTCAAGTTTTTATTGCACAACAATGGAAGTAGCTCTACTTTTTCTCTTTTCATTGACTGATGCCTTTAAATCCATGCCCTTTGCTGCCTCTGTGTGTGACGCGCAGGTTTTACTTCCCCTCCTCCCCGCGCTAAGGAGAGGGCTGGGAAAAGCCGCATACTTTCGATTTCCTGCAAAGGACACACCTCCTGTCTCTCTCCCTTTTACAGAAGGAGGAGGGGCGGAGCAGTTCGTGGAGGTTTAAACCTGTAGCCTCTCCCCTTCTCTTCACCAACATTCACACTCACGGTGGCATCGGACAAGAGCTTCAGTCACACAAGGAACTTTTATGAGCTAAAAAAAACCCCTAGGCTGCCTGGTTCTGTTTTTCTTTTGCAAATCTTCTTCAAAGAGTAAAAACCCTTTTCTCTCTCCGATTACTGCCACAAGCAAAAGCTGAGAGACAGACGTATCCTTTCCACCGTGGGTCCCAGTGGACTTTGTGTTTATCAGCTGTTTTTGCTGCATCTGGAGCTGTTTCCACAATACGGTGTGTCGTGGCTGGCTTTCTCTGGAGTGCTGAATACAGCTGGAGAATAAGAGCATATCTAACAAAATGCCAAGGGACTGCCAGACAGGCAGGCAACAAACCAGCTGCCAAATGAATTTATTGTCACCACCTCCTCAACCAGCAGGAGTAGCATCCTCATCGTTGCTGTTGTTCCCAAAACCAATCTGCCACCCCAACTTCTTCAAGAAGCACCCGCAAGAAATCTGCCAGATAAACTGCAAAGAAAGCTCCCTAGCTGTCGTGGAGAAAAACGGGAGCGTTCTCATTTTTGACAAAGAGGACGAACACAGAAAACCCGGTGAGTATTTGTTTTTCAAACCCAAGGACCAGGTTCTGATCTGGTGTAAACTGACATAGCTCCAGAGATTTCATAGCTTCCCAGCAGCTCAGAATCTGGACCAATATATGAACATTTTCTTTTTTGTTGTCATGTGCCCAAATCTAACCCCTTTAGAGTTAAATGTGTGATAGAAATTGAAGGTGTCTCTGCTGTGATTCTGTAATACGTTATTTTTACAGTGCATTAATATGGTTATAGTCTTCCTCTTTAAATTAAACTTATCACAGGAGACCAAGGTAATTTAGGACTTAGGTTGATTTTTCACAGGAAACTCCAAGTGGTTTGTGATTTGCCTACTCTTGCTGTTCAGAAGTCCAATTCCCAGGTCCCTGCTGCCACTCTTATTTCTGTCTTATCTCTTCTCTCACTAGAGCAGTTTCCTTTCTCTGTCATACCAAGTACCAGTTTCGGTTTCCATTCCAGAGGCTGAGCAGAGTGTTACTCAGGGGCCTGTCAGGCTGCCCGGCGATAATGGGTGAAGTGCAGGTGGTCATTTCTGCACTGCAGACGCCTCCTGATTGTTGGAGGAATAATCCTTTCTCCCAGAAAAATAGGAATTTTGTTGTTATTACAGATAGTTGACTCTCCTTGACTTCTCAGTGATCTGAGTGCCTTGGGCATGTAAATGTAAGCCCTGATCACTGGCTTCATGTTGATTTAGTTTAAGATAAATTTGAATGAGAAGATCATAACTTATGGAGCAGTAACGTCTACATGATAAGGCAAATGAAGGCACGGATTAGTAAAATGGTAGTGAGATCTGATGCACACTTACAGGCATCTGAGATTCTTTTATATACTGTGAATGTTAAAGTTTCTGCGCTAAAGCCCAATTTTAGATAAAAACTATTGACTTTATTAGGGTCCCGGCATAATCATCTTCCCCTTTTCACCCTTTTGAGTGGGTTTCTTTGGAAGGAAACAAAGAAACAAACAAACACAGACTCCTGTGTGCAGGAGTCCAAGTCTAATAAGAATGAAGTTTAAGGGATTTAGTGGGGACACTCCTATTTTGGTAATGGAAAAGAGTCTGTGAGAAGGGGACCTATAGGCTAGAGAAATCTAACTTAAAGGGACGGTGGCTAATTTTTGCCTCCCTTTTTGATACTATTAAAGAAGAAGAGGAGTTACAAAATCTAAGCTGACAAGAAATGCTTTGATGATTTCTTTTGTTGTTGCACTAATACAGGTTTCTATTTATGGATGTAACCATTTTCCTGTGGGACGGGGAACCCCAGCAGGCATGAGATCCAGATAGACAGCTGGCTATATACAACCGTGAAACTGACTAGTTTGTTTTCCATTGTCTAGACTGAGGGATGTGCAATAAAGACAAACAGCCAGAAAAAACAGTCGCAAGCAAATTAGAGTGGTTTAAAACTCGCCTTCATTTGTAATAATCTGCTGGGCTGACTTTCAGAAGAACTGAGCACTCGCAGCTCTTGCTGAAGGAGATTTGGGTGCTCAGCACCTCTGAAAATCAGGTCATAGTTTATTATTAGCCATGCCACATTCCACCGCACTTGGGAGACTGGAAGCAAAGTGGTCCTGCCGTGGGTTCCATAAGCCACAGAACTGAGCTCTGCAGTCTTTCTTTCTCTATGGGGTGTTGTGGGAAGGCTGGGGAAGTTGTGGAGGCATGGACGGTGGGTGTACAAACTGTACGGATGCACTAGACCACACCACCACATGGAGGGGGGAGGAGTAAGGTTCGACCATTACTGAAACCTATGGCCCACGCTACTACATCCAGGTCATCTGGGTGCTCTGCATGCCACCTAGGAGAGAATTGTGTGCCTGAGAGTGGCCACATCCCGTACCAGTACATGCATATGTGCAAGGCTTTGTGCTGAGGAGCAGAAACTCATTCTGTGATCGTTACTATAGCGTGAAGTTGCTGGGTAGCTTTTAATATGTTCAATGTCTCAAAATGATGGTGGGTGTCTGTCTTGATTTACTCTGCAGAATGCGTGAATTCAGGAAAGGACACGAGGGTGCATTCCTTGGACTGTGGAGCAGCTCATATGCTCATTCTCTCCTCGGATGGAAAGCTTTCTGAGCACAGCATTTCAGCCCCAGCTAATAAGTCGGAGATGAGGTGGGAAATGTCTCAGTGGATGGTGATGATGGTTAGAGAGCGAGACCAGTATTTGGGGAATACCAAGTTCAGAGAGTGACCAAAAACGGGGGGAAGTTGGTCCAGAGCTGGGGGTCCAATAATTAACGTAAGCAGAGAAAGATCTGGGCTGAAGCAGCCCAAAATAAGGGTAAGGGATCGAGAGGAGAGGGGACAGTTGAGCAGGAAATGTGGGGCCTGGTGTAACTGACAGCCAGCTAGAGAGTGCAGAGAGAGATAAGAAGGATGGAATGGTCTTCAGAGGAGAATAGATGAGGGAGGTCCTGAAATAATAACAGGGCAAGAGAAGGAACCCATCCATCACTGTTGCCCCAGCCACTGGGAAGGGAAGTAGGGAATGGTAGTACACCTCTACCCCGATATAACACCACCTGATATAACATGAATTCGGATATAACGCGGTAAAACAGTGCGTCCGGGGGGGGGGGCCCGCGGGCTGCGCACTCCGGCGGATCAAAGCAAGTTCGATATAACACGGTTTCACCTGTAACACGGTAAGATTTTTTGGCTCCCGAGGACAGCGTTATATCAGGGTAGAGGTGTAGTAAGCCAATGGTGCCACAGTAGCAGAGACTGAATTAGTGGGGTATTTTGGGGACATGTTTCCACTTTGCCTAGGGAAGAAAGAGTTTGTTTTTCAACTAAAGAAAACATGGGTCTAAAATGTAAGTTAGGGGGTAGCTTTGTTTATACAGAAAGCATGGTCAATGCCCTGAAAGACCAACCACGCTGGAACGAGGCTTGAGTGTTGCCGGAAGGGATGCATGACTCCAAGCTGATTCCTGTGATTACATTGAAGTGCATTGAGCATGTTTGAGGATAGCAGTACTTACAAGTAGCATATGAGTGCCTGCCTATTTCTCCTAAGGATGACAGAAAAGTGCATCCTACAGCAATGGACCGAGAGGTGCTCCTGTTATAAAGGAGGGGGATGGAGCAGAGTCAGGTTTGGAGCCTACTTTGTTTTTTAACTCAGCAAGAAATAGACAATTGAGGATTGTTAACAGTACCGGACTAAATGGACTATCTGAGTACCAGATTCCCTAAGCATCCAGAAGTACCTTATTCCATGAGCCCCACTGGTCTCAATGGGACTACTTGTGGAGTAGAGGTACTGCTCAGTGTGGTGAGGGTGGGAGAACTGGACCCAAAGTGACCATATAGCATCTGACTGAACTGTATTTAATTGACTCACCCACTAACCTACAGGAAGCGTACACTGCCATCACCTGTGTGATGTTGTATTCTGTAACCTTGCCCCAGTCAGAGTTTAAAAAATATGTAACTATAAGGCCTGATCCTACTTTAGTTTAGTTTACATTGGTCTAAATCAGGATCAGCTCAATTGAAGCCAATGGAACTACACCTGGGCAGAAGTAGTGTGAGTAAGGTTAGAATCAAGACTATACAACATTTAAGCATGCTGAAAGTGGTAGAACAGGATAAAAATAGATTCTCAGGCAGGCTCTTATTGGATTAAGATTAGAATCATTTATGTTGGATTCACAGCACTTCATGTGTTTTTTTTTTTCCCAGACTGCTGAAAGAATTAAGAGACAAATACATTGTCCAAATCGCATGTGGGGACCATCATTCCATGGCACTGTCTAAAGGTATTCTCCTTGCTTAGATTTTCTCTAAAGTATTAAATTGGAGTATTGCAACCCTCTCCTCAAGAGCTAAAATTTTAAGCATCACAATTAGTTAATGTATTATTATGAAAGGGTAAATACTGGATAGGAAACTGTTTGCACAAGGGTCAGAAAGGAAGGGTGATCCAGTGGTTAGGGCAGTAGCCTGCAACTCAAGAGACCTAGGTTCAATTCCCTATTCTGCCAGAAACTTCCTATACAAACTTGAGCAAAACTCTGAATCTCTCTCTGTGCCTCCGTTTCCCCATCTGTAATTTAGGAGCAATAGGACTGCCCTCCTCAGAGGAGTGTTGAGGATAAATACATTATACTGGGATGTGCTCTAATACTATAGTAATGGGGCCATGTAAATACCTAGGATAGATATAGTTCTCACTATATTTACATGAATTTGTTAATCTGTATATCTCAAATTGTGCTCGTCTCTGAATGTGCATGCTCGTTTGGTTTTCTCCAAATGACAGTGTATGTTAATTTAACATTAGATGAAAGAATGGGGCTATTGTCATACCGCTTCCTATCAGATTTCTTCCAGTCACTTGTTCCTGGAAATAAAAAAAAAAAAGCTTCTACTCTGAGTCATAATTAATTCTTCATATTAAAATTGTGTGAATCATTTATTTATTTCTATAAATGTCAAAATTATTAATTAGGGTTTTTCACTTTTTAAAATATCGAAAGTATAGAAGTGCCACTTTTCCATTACAATTGTTTAAGAAGGCTACTCATTATGTCTTTGATGAGGCTATTCCGGAGCAGGGATTACAGGATTGGATCCTTCGTAGATAGCAGAGGGCAGCTACATCTAGTAGACTAAGCCTAGGGCTGGGAGTCAGGAGTTCCTTGGTTTATTCCTGACTCTGCCAGTGAGTCACTGTGTGCCCTTGGACAAGTTACTTAACTTTACTCTCTCTCTTTCCACATATGTAAAATGGAGGTGATAAAGTGCTATGAGATCTATGGCTGAAAGGTCTATGAATTGCGGACTGGCAGGGAGGGTTACGACCCATCACAACTTTAGGGCACGCTCCTGATTTTCACAAGTCAGAACCAGGTCCAGCGAGTCCTGAATTGATTTAATGTCCCCATTGTGTCAACGCTGCTTTTTTACAGCCTGACCCCTTATCTGCATGTGATGACATCATTTGATAATGTGATGATGTAACATAATCATGCACTGATAAAACATTATGGAGCAAAGGTAGAGAAGGCTGGTTTGGGACCACTCCTCCAGCTGCTCCCAAGGCTAACCTCGCTGTGGGCCCCTGAAAGCCAGTGCTGAGGCATCCAGGATATCTGCTATTACTGAGTCTTAATTGGGGGTCTCGATTCATATATAAAGAAGTTTGGCTCAATCTTCGGGTCCCTGGTGTGGAAGTAGGAGGGCCCATTAGGTGGAAACCTGTATGTTTGAAACTGTGATGGGTTTTTTCTCTTTCTTGTGTTAAGGAGGTGAGCTTTTTACCTGGGGACAGAACTCACATGGTCAGCTTGGAGTGGGGAACCAGACTGCCTTTACCGACAAACCACAACTGGTGCGGGAGCTCAGAGGCATCCCGCTGGCTCAGATTGCTGCAGGAGGAACTCACAGCCTTGCTCTGTCGCTCTCAGGAGCCGTTTACTCATGGGGGAAGAATGATTTTGGACAGCTGGGACTTGGAGACACACAAAGTAAGGAAAGACACAGAGCAGCGTGAAAAGTAAGGCGGGGAGGATATTTTCCTAACAGAGGAGCTTGACACAGACACAGAAACTATTAAAGATGCCAACCACTATCAGAGCAATGATGTCTGACAGTGTCTCTGGGAACAGCAAACGCAGATAAATTGGTGTTCCACTTGCTAGTTTGCCCTGATCTGCTACTGCCCATGGAAAGGCCAGCTGGAACAAGAGAGTTTGGTGTTTTACTTCCAGAGGACTAATCAATCATTTTACACTCCCACCCAGATAACATGGGCTCATACAATGCTCAGGCCTACGAGTTCTCTCCCTGATCGCATTATGCTCTGCCAGTAGTTTGCAGCCTCCCTCCTTCAATTTTCTGTTTCATAAATTTTATAAATACAAGGTGAGAGAAAATTAGATGTCCAGTTTGGAAATGTTGGTGGATTTTTAAAGTTAGGGTCATAAAATCATATCTAAATATATATATATATGGCCTGATTTTCAAGGTACTGAACACCCATAAATCCCATGGGAACTACAGGTGCTCGGCACCTTTGAAAATCAGGCTATTTATCTAGGTGCATAAATATGGATTTAAGAGCCTAATTTAAGGCCCTCAGGTTTGAATATTGGCCCAAGTTTTATTCTTAGTTCTAACTACATAAATATGTAAAACAACCAAATAAACAAACTTGCCAGGGTATTATGAAGCATTCTGCATTGTAACAGAACGTGAATAAGCCTTGTAAGCAAGTTCTATATACAGGGGAAAGGCTTTTTTTATTTTTTAAGAAGTAATTCCAGGATGGTTATAAGTATTTTTCTAGACCTTTATTTGCTTTAGATTTACCAATGTCGTCAATCTACATTGTTTTTCTTTTCAGACAAATATTACCCTTCATACATTAGAGCCCTAGAACATAAGAAGACTATGTATATCTCGTGTGGTGGAGAGCACACTGCCGTTCTCTCACAGGTTTGGTTGAATTTGAATTCATTCACTTCACAGAGCACAAGGGAAGTTTAGCCCAACAGAGATGATACACTAACTAGTAGAGTGTTGATTCCCTGCAAAGGCAATATTTACATTTATGGGAATGTGAAGCTGGTCCCTGGCAGTTGCTAACTGAGTTTTATAGGACCATAGTCTACTTAAATTCCTGCAGAACATTAAATGAGGAGTTGTTCTCATTCAGCCATGGGTTATCAAAGAACCGAAGGGACATTCCAGTAGTGACTGGCAGAAGCTGAAACTTTGAACCCAAGTACATGGGGACTGGATGTCTCAAGGCAATGTTAACAACACGCAGTTCAACTGTCAATGATGACCAAACATTATTACTTTTTGATGGTTTTTATAGTGTCCTCACTGACTGAGAACAACAACAACAACTTATTTACTAAGTTTACTCACACGACTAAAGCCCTTAAGCAATAGGACTATTCTCAGGAGTAAAGTTACTCACATGTATAGGTAATGCAGGATCAGGCTTTATATTAGCATTATTCAATTTGTATTTGCATCACCCATTCTCTGATCTATGGTCTATAGCATGTTCTTACATGTATGTAGTGTAGTTGTAGCCAAAGTATTAGAGAGACAAGGTGGGTGAGGTAACATCTTCTGTTGGACGAACTTCTCAGAAGCTTATCTCTTTTGCCAGCAGAAGTTGGTCCAACAGAAGCTATTGCCTCACCCACCTTGTTTCTCTAATGTCTTATATGGATAGTCAACAGGACTATCCATGTGAGTGAAGTTGTGTAAGCATTCGCGGGATCTGGTCCATAGTTGGCATTACCATTTTTTAATAGTGTGTGCTATTTTGAGATTACATGACCCTCATGTTTGTTTTTTCCTCTCCAAGGATGGGCTGGTGTGTACCTTTGGAGCTGGAGATTATGGGCAACTTGGTCACAACTCCACCCAGAATGAACTGACACCTCGTATTGTGGCTGAGCTATTTGGAGCAAGGGTGTCTCAGATAGCATGCGGAAGGTAGGAAATGGCAATGTCCTTGAAGCTTTATAATGACAAGGAGATAACTTTGCAGAGCTTTTGGGAAGCACTGTAGGATGTTAGGAAAAGAAATCTCTACGTCACTTTTTTCAGATCCCCTTATTTTAACTGCTTACAGCTGATAGACTATTGACCAGACACACGTTTTATTTATTAACTTTTCCACACACAGACCCTGCCCTGCATTGAGCTTCATGAGAACAAAGTCCCGCTCCAATGGCGTGAGCAGATTTAAAAATCATACTGTACCCATAATCCCTGGCTGCTCTCACCAGGTGATGAAGAATACATACATGTGTCAAACAGAAAAAGACCATCAAGTTACCTAACAGGGACGAAATCTACCAAAATTTCCAGTCAATCCCTGTACAACATGGGAAAATGGGTGTTACTGAGCAGTTACAATCTAACTGTGAATGATGAAAACTATGAAATTATATTCAGTCATTAATAGCCTGATACAATGTCCACTGAAATCAACAGAAAATCTCCTGTTGACTCGAGCGGGCTTTGGATCAGACCTAAAACCACAGAAAATATTTATGCTTGCCAAATGGAAAAATATCAACGCAGAATACTTTATTGTTTGTAATTCTCACTGGTTCAAAATTAGAAAATAAAGAGCTATCTAGAAGCAGTGGAACCGTGTTCATTTAACTACAGATGCACAGATTGTTCTTTCAGTTCTGCATGTTTATTGTAAGGAGCACCCTACAAATTTGACTGGAGGGCTTCTGTAGCATGGTTCTCAGTAACTTTAATGGGAAGCACCCCCATGCATTGCTCTGAAAATGTGCCTGTATGTATTATCCTAAGTAGCTCAATGGCGCTCTTCCATTGTCCATTTTCTTTCTCTGAACAGATGGCACACGCTCGTCTATGTCCCCTCCTTGGGAAAAGTCTATTCATTTGGTTGTGGAGCAGAAGGGCAGCTGGGCAATGGTGACACATCTAATCAGTTGATACCACTGCCTGTCGAATTACCTTCAGAGTGGGTGAATGGTGGAAAACTCAACCAGGGTAATTTGCACAGTAGATCTTTATGAGCTGTACTTTGTTATTTTAGGTCCAAACCAGGGAGGCGTTCGTTTTTTTTTTTAATGAAAAACACATTTTGTTTAACGAGGGGAGTGACAAGAGCGTGGGAGAGAGAGGGCTGGGAACAAGGAGCTTTGTCCCTAAACATTGGACAGCCTGAAAGCAATTGAGATGATTAACCTTACGAACATTTGAGAAGAACTAAGTAGATATTTGTGTGGGGAACCTCCTGCCAGGATAAAGTCACTAACTGCTATTTTCTCCTTCAAATTGGGCAAACTCATGAGAATCACACTCACTTTCAAAGGCAAAACTTGTCATCTTTCTCCCTAGCCTGAATAAATGAGTGGTTTCCCTGATGACTAATATACTAGAGGACTCTGGGGGGAAAACATTCTGGCAGGGTTGCTTAGCCCGAAGCAACAGTTACCCTAGTATCTTCTTTACCTCTCAACCTGACCTCTAAATAAGCTGTCACCGGGTAACTATCCCCTCTAAGGGGAGATGGGGGCCAACTACACCTGTGCCACCATAATTAATTAGCTGCTTCCCACCCTGAGGGGGCAGGACTAAGGGGAGGTCAAGTGATAGATTAGTGAACACCTGGGCCTTTTGAAAGCGCTGTGTGAGATCAGTCTGAGTTGGAACCACAGGGAGTTGGCTCCTGAGGAAGGCCCTGAACTGAGGTTTGGAGGGAAATGGTACTCCAGGGGAGCAAGCTCTATCCCAGAGGCAGCTATATTCTCAAAAGTTAGCCCAGAAAGGGGCTGGGAACGGGGCCAGGAGGGCATTGCTGAAGGGAAGCTCTGAAGGGCAAAAGCCCTTTTGCTTGTTTGGGAGTTTTTAGTTTGGACTTTTGCTACCTTGGAACAAGTAACGTTTGTTTGTCACTTGGCCAGAAGGTTAAGCCACATCTCCATCACAGCCAGATACCTGGAAAGCCAAGGAGAGAACCTTTGGGAAGGAACCTGAGGCAGGGAGTGCTGGCTACACCACAGCGAGCCAGCACGGGGTGTTACTGAGCAGCCATGGCATAGATGTTAAGGGTCAACTGTGGATTCTGGTATCTCTGTACCTTTCTCCTCTTCAGGCAATGTACTGCAGGCTACTCTTACTGCTGTGCTGTTTAATTGTCTCAGTTGCCTCTTCTCGGATCCAGTGCAATTGGAGAAAGAACATCATGCCTTAAAGGGTTGCTTAATAGCTACTTACCTCATTGTACCTACTGCTGTTCAGCTAGATGTGCTGCACATTCTCATTCGCTGGATTTTTTTTTACAATTAAGTCATTTTAAATTACTTCACACCTTATTCTGAAACTCAGATTTAAACCTCTTCAATTAGTCTTGTCCATGAGGCATTGACTGAGTCTAGTAATGCTAGAGATGTGGAAACCAAGCTAGTGAAGAGCCATCGACTCCGGTCCCAAACTCCATTTTAATGAATAGGACAGATGTTTTCTCAACAGCACACCCTGGCCATAACTAGGCAGTTCTTAAGAGGATTATAGCAATAGTTTTTCACTGTTGCGCTCTATGCTCCTAGGTTTGTAGCTGTTCGGGGCATCTGGGATATATCCAGATCTCTCTCATATATTGGGTAAACATGCAGTGATATTGAGGGCAGATCAAAATTAGCTTCTTATTCCTTTTTTATATTCCCTTATTAAAAAAAAACATATTACAAAGTTACAGTTGGAAACCGTTATATCACACTTTTCTAACAACAAAGTACAAGTAACAAAGGAAAATATGGAAAATAATGAGGAGCACTAGCTCCTAGATAGCACCACAAAAACTGTTCAGTAAGCAACTAAGGAAACACACTCCCTCTTTATGGGCTTATTATAACCTTAAGGTGACCCAGGTTAACCTGCAGTGGGCAGCCTTTACCTTTCTCAGAAATGGGATTCTTCTGGGTTTTGTATTGAGGAGAATGTGACTTTCCTTGGGTCTCTTCAGGCTTGATAACCACTAGAATCCCACTCTTCTGTGGAAGGAGCTCTGCCTCTGTGTTGCAGATCTGAAACTAAGGCCTTCCATGAAGTAGAGACAAACCCAGCTGCCCTGAGCTGGGGCTTCTCCACAGCTGGCTTCTTCCTGCCAATCAGAAGATGCAGGAACTTGCATGCTGCTTTTAGATTGGCCAGCCACCCTCTTCCAGTGTCCCCACGCTGCTTGCTGAGCCCATCAGAGATACATTTACTCTTTCACCACGATAAATAGATGTTATATAGAATCACTTCTGGGGCTGGGAGCTTTTGATTAGTTTTTAAGGTTTGTTTTTTTAAGCCTTGTCCTTGCACTGAACTTTCTAAAGATAAGGGGTTGTTCTTTGGCTCATCCTTTTCTTCTTTATCCCTTCACAGGAAACAGTACCTCCGAAAAGGTGATTAAAATTATTGCGGGAGGAAACCAAAGCATTGTGCTTTGCTTGAAGAAAAAGGTATGCAAAGTATGATATGTTTTTAACTATGTAGTTTATGACCAAGGCTTCTGCTTTGTTGCTGTTGAGCCACATATGAATTTGGATTTGCCATCTAGACCCATAATAGGTTTTTCTTCCAAAGTCACAGCACTCTCCCCACCTCCCTCCATCCCTTCACTGAGACCAAATTGTGTCAGAAAAGCAAATCTCTCTCTCTCTCTCTCTCTCTCTCATGACATCATTTCTGTATTTTATGCTTGTGGTATTGTCTACTGGTTGAAAGACCATTTGTTCACTCAGTTTGGCCAACAGAAGGCTCTGATCCTAGCTAACCAGAGTCTCATCTACTGGGCTTCTAACCTCATTAACATTCTTGCCCCTTTTATACAGAATCCATATGTTACTTTGAATGGAATTGCCATAGTGGAAGACAAGGAGGTGGATAAATGGATTTCTAATTCGGATCCTAAACAGTGGGAGAATATAAAGAAGTAAGTCAGATCCCCGGTGGGTTTTTCCATTAATACTGTAAATGCTAAACCTTCAAAACACTGTATTTTCTTGGTACAGTTCTTCCCTTTCAAAAAATCTTGTAAGGAGTGTAATTAAAAGGACAATGGCAGAGACTCAGAATTGGATATTTGCTTGTTTGCCGTTTTGAGACTCAGTCCAGCACGCTTTACTGCGTCTTTGCTCAGGCGAAACTCACATTAATGAAGTAAGGGCTCTAGTGTTTGGCCCTTGGTCACCATTTTCTTGCAAAAAGATGGAAGTGGACATTTCACAAGTACAGCAGTTGAGACACACTGGCCAGCTTTAGGAGTATATCCTCCCCTTATAGCAAATATATACTTGCCACTAGTGTTACTGGGAGTTAAGAGCGCACATCCAGGGGGAGACTCAACCCCAAAAAGGGGTGGCCTTAAAACAAAAGAGCCTGATGCAAAGTCCATTGAGCAGCATGGCTGGAATTTTCAGAAGGACTCAGCATGCACAATTGGTGCCCAATTTTCAGAAGTGCTCAGCTCTTCTAGGCACAGAAATAAGTGGGCAGATTTTCATAATAACTTGGTACATTGGGATGCTGAACACTTCTGAAAATCTCGCCTTTTTGAGGTGCCTGAAAGGGAGCTGACTTTCTTTTGGGAAATCTGGCCCCAATTATGCATGCTGAGTACTTCAAAAACTGGCTCTTTTGAAAATCTATCCCCACGTGGCTAATTTGGATCTCGGTGATTTTCCAAGTATTTTTAATCTAAGGTAAGTGGTAAGGACAGTGGCATGTAGAACCGCTGGCATCTTTAAATCACAAACCAATTTGTACACATCTTTGCTGTTTGTTCAGACTGAATAGCTGTTGCTGCTGTTTTTGTTGGAATGATTAATTCTGGGTTGTTTTTGTTGTTCTTTTAAATTAACAGGACTATTTGGCTGATCTTTTCCTCTGAGGCGTGTGTCAATGGAAGTTTCTTGGACAAAAGGTAGAGCGCACTAATTTGAAAACAAAATAGTACATCAGCTGTGTATAAACTGGTCAGAAATTAGCTACATTACAATGAATGTAGAGATTGATAGGATTATCTGGATTTGTAAAATACAAGTCTATAGAACAGTTTTCAAGGAAAGACTAAAATTCTCATCTGATCCACATAATAGATCTTGACCAAGATTTTAAAAAATGAGTGCCTAAAATTAAGCTTCTAAATTCACATTTAGGCACTTAAATAAGTGGCCTGATTTTCAAAGGTGCTGAGCAAACCCAGGTCCGATTGAGGTCAGTGGGAACTAGGGGTGCTAAGCACTCTTGCAAAATCTAATCACTTTGTTGCCTGAATATGGACGTGGGGGCCAAGATTTAAGCATCCAAGTTTGAAAAATTGTCTCCTTGTCTCCAGAACTCTGCTCTCCTTGCATGCTTCCATCTCCCACTAATGTAGAGAGAGCAGAGGATCTGAGCGGAGGTTTATCACATGGATATGAGAAAAGCACTTTACCCAAAATGAAGATCGGACAGGTTTGTCACATATTAACATTTACTGTTCATGAACTTACATTTATATAGCATCTTATACCCAGAAGGATTCCAAATCATTTCACAAATGTTACTTTACCCAGCACTGAAATGCAACCACTTCTAAGGTGGAATATGGCAAGCTGCTGATTAACAACACACAGCCACACTATGTGAGAGTTTAGAACAGGGAGTATGGAATATCATTCAACTGATGCTGCAGTGAGAATTTCTTGGTAGGCAGAATGTAATTATACTAATTGGAATTAGGGTTTAGCATTTCTCAGAACGTACATTCCCTTCACACCTAGGGATTGTTAAAATGCTTCCAAGTTTAGCCAGTAATACACAGCAGAGGAGCAGATCTTTCACATCCCTGATTTTTCTTCCCTTCCAGTAGAGACAAACATTTCAGAACCTCCAAAGAAATCTCAGGCGTAGATATGTCAGCAGTGCTTCTTTTTTATGAGAAGATGAACAAGAAACCAAAAGTCTACCAGGAGGTAAGAAGTGGCATAGAAATGATACTTGTTACACTGATACCCAGTAGCTTTGGATCATCGCATTTTTTTTCCACAAAGGGATGCTGACAAAATGTAGTTCTGGGTTTTTCAAGTGCTTTATAGACCCTACCATAAACAGGAAAAAAACAAATCTACTACCTCTCAGAGCTGCTTCCAGTGGACCAAAGAGAGTTTTGTTTGCGGTTATTTCTTTGTATTAAATTAGGAGTCGCCAAGATATTATGGCAATGAAGGCCATATAATGACTGAGTTTGACATAATGTTTTCATGGTGGTTTTGTTGTTTTAAGCTTGTTTTCCTAATTCAAACTCTCCCTGCTAGAGCAACAGAAACAGAAAGGGAAACTGACTAGAAGTGAAATTGATCAATCTGCAAAATGGTGGTGCAGAAGGTGTGCATTGTGCTCCGCACTGTACAAACACAGAATGCGAGATGGTGCTTCTCTCAAAGAGCTTACTGTCTCTAAATTGGCAGGGATATGGACAAGGGTGGAAGAATTATTATTATCCTAATTATAGAGATGGGGAATCTGAGGCACTAACAGATTAAGTGATTTGCCTAAAGTCACACAGGAAAACTGTGGCAGAGTCATGAATTGAGCCCAGATCTCCTGAGTCCCCGTTCAGTGTATGAAAGAAGATGGGACATGACATTGGGAATTCTGAATTGCTCTTGCTGCTATAAGTAATAAATTATTATGGCAAAGCTCCGCTGCATTTTTTAATTTCTTTTGTTCCCTTGCTCCCTCTATCCCCCAGATGATCTCTGCAGTTAAGAAATTGCTGTCATCGCTGTCTTCCTCTCCCAGCTCACCTGAAGCTCTCAGGATCTACCTGATCATTCCTGTTCTTTCACGGGGACAGGTTAACATGTCTGAGTGTCTTCTTGATCAGCTAGCAGAAGCCATCCTGAGTCTCCAACAAAAAGACCTGAAAGTTCTTGGTAAGGCCTGATAGCAGTACAACTGGATCACCTGCGTTCTTCAGCACTTTCTGGGGCGGGATGGGGAAATACTCCCATTGACTTCAGTTGGGCCAGGATTTCACCCCAGATATTTCCTACAATGGAAAAGGGTTTTGACAAGCTGCTTATGTAGAAATACATGCAAAGGGATAACTTGTCTGTAGCAGTCTACAGATAAAAGCATTATATGAATTTGAGATTTACTAGTTTAGTTTAAAACCAAGTGCTTTATTCAGTTAATCTGAAAACAAAACGAACTGCTGTTTGTCCAAAGGACAGATCTTACTAGGACTATATGTATGTTGTCTAAGGTAGAGATGTCAACAGTTGTTTTCTTTACAGAATCCCTGTGGTCAAATCTAGAAATATCCTTTTTCAAGGACCTAGTGAGCATGTATCAAAGCGTTTCCAGAATCAATCTATCTCTTTTCATCATGCAAGTCAGAAACTCTGAAGAAGTCACCTGTGAACCACACTTGAATAGGACTCTGAAAATGCTGCAGATTCTTTACCAGGTAGAAAAGCACTTGGCTCTGGTGGGTTAGAAAACACACATACGATTCGAATATTTTTTTCATGTATTTATTTCTTGAATTTATGAATACATGGCTTTCAGACCTAGGGTGACCAGATAGCAAGTGTGCAAAATCAGGACAGGGAGTGGGGGGGTAATAGGCACTTATATAAGACAAAGCCCCGAATATCAGGACTGTCCCTATAAAATTGGGACATCTGGTCACCCTATTCATACCTGAGGTACAATTGCTGATTACAGAGCAGTATACACTTTGCCCCATCCATGCTAAGAGACTGGAACTGTAATATTGATTTGCCCCATTACCAGGCCCCATTGGTCAACTACACAAGAATAACCTGCATAGGGGTCTGCAATCAGTGAGTCTGAACTCTATTTCCCTCTTATTCTTCCATTAGGGGACTGCCCCATATCTTGTGGGCCCCACCGCAGGGGCAGGTTGAAATGTGAGTGTGATGTTTGCTGGTTACACTCGAATGCTGCAGAAGTTTTTTCACACTGATAAGCTGCTCTGAGGTCATAATAACTTGAATCCTCTGGAGAGCTAGGGGTTCTCTCCCCTTTTATTATTGTCCTGGATGTGCAGCATCACAGATTCCACCCCCCTCTTCCTGTTTCATTCACCACTTCATCCACCACTTTCTTAACTCTCTCTCAACGGGCCCATGCACCAGTTCTGGACACATGACTTTCTGAGCACCCCCACTGGATTTGCCCCACCGTTGGCATAGGATTTGGGGGCAGATGGGAAGTTGAAGGAAACTCGGGTAAACTTACACACTGAATCTTGGGCCTTAAATCACGGGGACCCTAAGCTAATACTTTTACTGGAAGCCCTGGGTTTGTTTGAATTAGCACTGCTTGATTTTTATTTACTGACCTGACTAGAATCTGTTTTTCTTCTGATTCCTCCCCCGTCTCTCCATATTTGCCACTTGTAAGTAAAAGGCCTTTCTTTGTCCCTCTCATCCCCGTTTGGTGGAATTTTCTCCCTTGGGAAATCTACACTGCAAGTTCATGATGTCATTCTAAGATAGGGCATAATACAAAGGGCCTGATTCTCATTTCCCCTAGGCCCCTTCTCTTAGTAAAGAAGGGCTTTAAGTGAGTATAATGCAATATGTGCTCACTGTCAGAGCTGTGCAAAGGAGCTTTGGGGTAAAAGACAATCAGGCCCATGGAATTCTCAATTAATGCACAGAGCAGACTACGATTCTTAGCTGTAGGGTTTTATATTTATTGTATTGTTTTTGCACTTCTGCCCTTGTCCACTGCTTTGTGTACAAAAGTGCTATGGTACATTTGCAATATAGTTCTGTTTTATAGATTAACTGTGCCTAGCTCATAGGATCTGCTGGCCGTTTCCTTTTAACACTGTTCATATCAATGCAGGTGAATTCCAGTGCTGGTTTCAAAATACAAGAAAACAACTTCTATGTACCTGAAGTGAAAATGATTTGGGGATGGAATTTGCATTTGAATGAAGAAACAGTAAGTATAACATCTTTCCAAAACTGCAGTATATTTTCTTGTTGTTATTTAGGAAGTTAGAGATATTGGGGCCAAATTCTTGGGTCCAGCCCTTCTATCTCCAGTACAGCTTAGAAAGCTTTACATCCTCTCCGGTCCTGCGACTACTGGGCATTAAGCTGGCCCAGATACACCATCCAGAACAGCAAGGCTCTTCTAAGTTGTGCCAACTGCCCATGACTTCCAAGGTTGTTTTGGCAGTCAGAGATCGACTGGGCACAGTCACGCCCCAGCTACACCTCCTTTTCCATGGCCACATACCCCCTTCACTGGGGGCTTGGAAGCAGAGATAACAAAGGAGGAAACACTGGTGCTACGTGATCTGGAGATTCCCCCATGCCTGACATAGCCAATCCATTGGCCAGTCGCTGCAAAGCAGCTGCAAAGGGAGCCAGGATCTGGCCCATTATATTGCCTCTTATTTTTGTGTTTATCCATTCAGAATTAATGGACTCTTATACAGTCCTTTGAAACTTTTCACCAGGAAGCCAACAGAACATTTTAATTTCCTTTGAGTCATGGAAAGGAGCTAAGACCCGCTCTACAAACTAATTTGCACCGGTTTAACCAAAGGCCTTGTTTCTGATTCTTGTAGTTAAACTGGGGTAAAGCCCATTTTTTAATGATATTAAAATTGACATAAGCCATTTTAAAACTGATTCCAGAGAGTCCACACAGGGCTTTGCACTGCTTTAATTTAAATGAGTCTTATATAGGAATATGCAGAAATTGCGTCTGGGAGAATGCGTCTTCAGGTCTCATGCTGATCACATGTGTATTCATTATTTCTAACTAGCAGCTATAATTCTGCACACAGTGCTAAGTGTTTGTTACATGAGGCTGTTTTATAGATTTTCACCTTTTTTTAGCCATAGATTTAATCAGGTCTTGTCTTCCTTAGGGAATAGGTCCTGATTCCATATATCATTGACTAGCCACTGATACAGCTGCATCAGGGCAGCCCCTAGCATAGAGAGTGGGTTATACACCATGATTTGCACTATGCAAGGGGAAGGTGCACCCGTGCAGATCACAGCTGCTTGTGGCTATCAATACTAGGGGTTTGCACTAGTTCAACTACATCCATGGTTTGGCACTGATGGCTGAAATCCTCAGCATAGACCAGGCCTAAACTTCATTCTTGAGGTCTTGCCTATCTTTATCTAATAGCGGACTTTGGTTTTGAATCTCATTTGTTCTTAGTTTGCAGAGTTTGATGTCTGCTTGTTGTGTGCTTAGGCAGAGGAAAAAAAAAAAAAGCCGAGTCCTGCCGGCTGAGCAAAAAAATAAAAATAAAAAAAACCAACCCAGTGCTGCTGGCGGATATTGGGACAAATTGCGTCCCGACCAAAGATCGGTCGGGACGCAGGACAGACACCGAAATATCGGGACGTCTGGTCACCCTATGTGTGCTTGCTGCTTGACTGAAGTATGCAGTGTGGTTTGTTGGGGGGCGGTGTGCTGAGCCTAGTGGCCTACTAGACAAGGCTGAGAGCTTCTTAAGGAGGCTTTGATCCCTAAACCCTTTAGGATCCGTTAACTGTTAACTAGGGGGCAGGGCTATTCTCCCTCTCAGTTTAACATTCTCTCAGTTTAGGCCAACAAACACTCCCCCACCCAAAAAAGCCGCAGGAATATAAAAAAATGCAGGCAGAAGTCCAACAGTAGAGTGGGGTCTATCCAGTTTATTGCATTGAATGTATGATTACCTGTCTGTGAGCAGGTGGCATATGTGTGCACTCGGTGCAAGGAGTTCATGGTCCTCACAGACCGAGTATGGGCTCTGGAGACCAGAGTGGCTGAACTGGAGGAGCTAAGTGAGATAGAAAGGGACATAGATGAGACTTTCCAGGACAGCGTAGAATAGTGCCCCCCTCCACCTCCGCCCCAGTCTGAATGCCTCTGTGCTGTTGAGGAGGATGAAAGTCTTGGGGAAGGAGAACATCAAACTGGAGCAGAGGGAAATGATTCCATAGTTGGGAACCTCCTTCCAGATGATGTCACAGTATCCTCTTGCACTGAGGATACCTCCCTGGGGGAAGAAATCTCAGTTATTAGGAAGAGATGGCTAATAGTGATGGGAGATTCGATCATTAGAAATATAGATAGCTGGGTTTGTGATGACCGAGAAAACTTCGTGGTATATGTAGGTACCAATGACATAGGGAAGGATAGGAGAGAGATCCTGGATGCCAAATGTAGGCTGTTAGGTAAGAGACTGAAGTCCAGGACCTCCATGGTAGCATTCTCTGAAATGCTTCCAGTTCCATGCGCAGGGCCAGCTAGTCAGGGAGAGCTGCAGGGTGAGACAATGGTGTAGGGAGGAAGTTTTAGTTTATTAGGAACTGGGGAACCTTTTGGGAAAGGAGGAACCTATACAGGAAGGATGGGCTCTTCCTAAATCACAACAGAACCAGATTGCTGGCATGTAAAATTGAGAAGATTGTAGAGGGCTGGGGGGAAGCCGACAGGTATAGAGGACTGATACATCCCATAGAGGAGACTCTACTAACAGGGATTCTCTATATCCTAGTAAAGATGAGAGGATAGAAGTTGATAGAGTACAGGTAGAAATTGAAGAGAAACAGTCAAATGAAAAAGTGTCCCATTCAATTGCATCACATGAAGGCAGACAACTAAAAGTGACAAATTTTATAAATACTGTATACAAATGCTAGAAGTCTAAATACTAAGATGGGTGAATTGAGTGCCTGGTATTAAATGAGGATATTGATAAATGAGGATTAAATGAGGATTTTGATGCATCAGAGAAACTTGGTGGAACGATGATAATCAATGGGATATGGTAATACCAGGGTACAAAATATATAGAAATGACAAGAGTAGATCATGTTGATGGGGGAGTGGCACTCGATGTGAAATAAAGCATGGAGTCAAATATAGTTAAAAAAAAAAATTAAATGAATCAAACTGGATCATAGAATCTCTATGGATAGAAATTCCAAGCTTGAATAACAAGAGTATAGCAGTAGGAATATACTACCAACTACCTGACCAGGATGGTGATCGTGAAATGCTCTAGGAGAATAGAGAGGCTATAAAAGTAGAAAACTCAATAATATTGGGGGATTTCAGCTATCCCCATATTGACTGGGTACATGTAACCTTGGAATGGGATACTGAGATAAAATTTCTAGACACCACTAATGACTGCTTCTTGGAGCAGCTTCTCCTGGACCCCACAAGAGGAGAGGCAATTCTGGATTTAGTCCTAAGTGGAGCACAGGATCTGGTCCAAGAGGTGAATATAGCTGAACCGCTTGGTAATAGTGACCATAAAGTAATTAAATTTAACTTCCTTGCGGGAGGGAAAATACCAAAGAAGCCCAGCACAGTAGCATTTAACTTCAGAAAGGGGAACTACACAAAAATGAGGAAGCTAGTTAAAGAAAAATTAAAAGGTACAGTCACAATAGTGAAATGCCTTCAAGCTCCATGGAAACTTTTAAAAAACACCATAATAGAGGCTCAAATTAAATGTATACCCCAAATTAAAAAACAAAGTAAGAGGACCAGAAAAGTACTATCATGGCTAAACAATGTAGTAAAAGAAGCTATTAGAGACAAAAAGGTGTCCTTTAAAAATTGGAAGTCAAATCCCACTGAGGAAACTAGAAAGGAGCATAAACTCTGGCAAGTCAAGTGTAAAAATAGAATTAGACAGACTAATAAAGAATTTAAAGAACAACTAGCCAAAGACTCAAGAACTAACAGCAAATTGTTTTTTGAGTACATCAGAAACAGCTGCCAAACAATCAGTGGGGCCACTGGACAATGGACGTGCTAAAAGAGCACTAAAGGAAGACAAGACCATTGCGGAGAAACCAAATGAATTCTTTGCACCCGTCTTCACTGCGAAAGATGTGAGGAAGGAAGATTCCCACACCTGAGCCATGCTTTTTAGGTGACAAATCTGAGGAACTGTCCCAGATTGAGGTGTCAATAGAGGAGGTTTTGGAACAATAAATAAATTAAACAGTAATAAGTCACCAGGACCAGATGGTGTTCACCCAAGAGTTCTGAAGAAACTCAAATATGAAATTGCAGAACTATTAAGTGTGGTGTAACCTACCACTTAAATCAGCTTTTGTACCAGATGACTGGTGGATAGCTAATGTGACACCAATTTTTTTAAAAGGTTCTGGAGGCGATCTTGGTGAATTCAGGCCAGTACGCCTAACTTCAGTGCCAGGCAAATTGGTTGAAACTATAGTAAAGAACAGAATTATCAGACACATAAATGAACACGATTTGTTGGGGGAAGAGTCAACATAGCACTTGTAAAAGAAAATCATGCCTCACCAATCTATTAGAATTCTTTTAGGGGGTCAACAAGCATGTGGACAAGGGTGATCCAGTAGATATAATGTATGCGGACTTTCAGAAAGCCTTTGACAAGGTACCCAGTAAAGGCTCTTAAACAAAGTAAGCAATCATGGGATAAGAGGGAAGGTCCTCTCGTGGATCAGTAGCTAGTTAAAAAATAGGAAACAAAGGGTAGGAATAAATGGTCAGTTTTCGGAATGGAGAGAGGTAAATAGTGATGTGCCCCAGGGATGTGCACTGGGACCAGTGCTGTTTAACTTATTCATAAATGATCTGGACAAAGAGGTAAACAATGAGGTGGCAAAATTTGCAGATGATACAAAATTACTCAAGGTAGTTAAATCCAAAGCTGACTGTGAAGAGTTCCAAAGGGATCTCACAAAACTGAGTGACTGGGCAACCAAATGGGAGATGAAATTCAGTGTTGATAAATGCAAAATAATGGACATTGGAAAACATAATCCCAACTATACATACAAAATTATGGGGTCTAAATTAGCTGTTACCACTCAAGAAAGAGATCTTGGAGTCATAGTAGATGGTTCTCTGAAAACATCTGCTCAGTGTGTAGCTGCAGTCAAAAAAGCTAACAACCATTAGGAAAGGGATAGGTGATAAGACAGAAAATATCCCACTATATGAATCCATGGTACGCCTGCACCTTGACTACTGTGTGCAGTTCTGGTCACCCCATTTCAAAAAAGATATATTGGAATCGGAGATGGTACAGAGAAGGGCAACAGAAATTACTAGGAGGATGGAACAGCTTTCATATGAGGAGAGATTAAAAAGACTGGGACTTTTCAGCTTGGAGAACAGACGACAAAGGGGGGATATAATAGAGGTCTATAAAATCAAGACTGGTGTGGATAAGTGAATAAGGAAGTATTATTTACCCCTCCACATAACACAACAAATCAGTGGTCACCCAATTAATAGGCAGCATGTTTAAAAAAACAAACAAAAGGAAGGACTACTTCACACAACGCACAGTCAACCTGTGGAACTCGTTGCCAGAGGATGTTGTGAAGGCCAAAACTATAACAGGGTTCAAAAAAGCATTAGGCTGTGTCTACACTGCCACTTTCAGTGCTAAAATTTTAGTCGGTCGGAGGTGTGAAAAAACACCCCCCTGAGCGACAAAAGTTTCAGCACTGAAAAGTGCCAGTATGGACAGCACTTTATCCCGGCGATAAAGCTACCACCGCTCATTCGGGGTGGATACACTGCCCAGGTCACAGTGCTGCCCCGGCCACGCTGTAATGGGAACAGTGTAGACATACCTTAAGATAAGTTCATGGACAGTAGGGCCATCAGTGGCTATTAGCCAAGATGGTCAGGGATGCAACCTCATGCTCTGGGTGTCATAAGCCTCTAACTGCCAGAAGCTAGGAATGGACAACGGGCGATGGATTGCTTCATAATTGTCCTGTTTTGTTCATTCCCTCTGAAGCACCTGGCATTGGCCACTGTCGGAAGACAGGATACTGGGGTAGATGGACCTTTGATCTGAGCCTGTATGGCTGTTCTTATGTTTTTAGCAATGAACAAAAACTATCTTGTCTTATCCAGCAATGAGTCATAGAAGTCAAAATGCCCTATCATTTAAATACTGGTGAAAACCAGACCTGCTGATATCTAAAGTAAGGGGAGAAAGAGGAGAGAGACACTAGAATATCTGCCTCCTCTCCTTGAACTCCAAATATATTCTAAATAATGTATTTTAGTTATTGCCTAATATTGTTCATCATGTGGACAATGCACTTTATTGTAGTTTTTCTCCTTAAATAAAATCCAGTGGTTACACTTTCTAATCCAGTGACTAATCACATTGCAGTGATGCTTTTAGCCGTCTCTCTCCTTTTAGCCGTTCAGTCATATAGTTCAACTTCTGGTTCTATGAATAGTCATTACAAAAACAGCAGTGTGATTACACTGCAACTGCAGTTAAATTACAAACACAGTATTATGAAGCATAATGAAATTAACAAGGTAAGAGAAGGGACCAGGGGAGGGAAGAGTAGAAATAATACCAAAGCAAACACTACATAACACACCGGCTGAGGTTTCTCCTTATTCAGTATAGAACCCGTTTTTCTTTTTGATGTGGCATCTTGAATTAGGCTATTTTGTATAATAATATCTATTTTTGAATATTTTCTAAAAGGTACCAATAATAATGAATCATTTTGCTAAATTTGTGCAATGACTACTCATTGGTCCAGATGTTCACATTACTGGTACGTAACTCATTCTTTTGTAGAGTGCTTTCAAGTATCTGAAGTATGAAAGGTGCTATTAAAACTCCTATTCTCTTTTTTTAGACTTTCGAACAGTGGAACAAAAACCTGATTTCAAAGCATTTGGAAACAGTAAGCTATATTTCATATCCAGTTAGAAACTGGCCTTTGGACATTAGCATTAAAATTTACTTCTTGTTGTCTCCATGACCTTTACAGGAATACTCAGTCATCCAAAAAATCCCAGACAGTTAGTAGAGATGGTTCTGAGTGAAAATTAGTCATAAGAAACAGAGGGGTGCAAAATGTTTGGTTGGAACACAGAACCCACCAGAATTCAAGCTGGGTTTGGATTTTAGTCTTTTCACTAAACGTTTGCCTAAGTCTGTAAAGGTTTATCTGGCCTGAGCCCCACACCTCCTGCCCTACACACACCCTTTCCTGACCTCAGTTTTCTTTGAGATGGGTTTGGGGTCTGACTCCCCCCAGCATCTCTATAGTGTACAGTTTCAGGGATTGGCAGGGAAGAATTACTGTCCTTTTCAATTCCTACAAGAGGAGGCGCTGGGCTGAAAATAGTCCATCCTCTAGGGCATCAGGAGAAGGGAAATATTGGGTGTTCTTCTTGCACCAGCTTTTACAAATAAAACTTAATTGTAAACCTCTGTTTAAAACAAAAAAAGGTGTAAAATGGGTTCATGTGGTGAGTATTCAACACTCACTTAATATTTCCGGTTTTTATATCGGTGTTACAGCAGTTTAATAAGAGCTCATCCACAATGGTAGAAAAACATTGTGATGTTCTGCAGAGTATAATAGTTCATTAGAAATATATACAAGTACTACATTTTTCTTTCTAGACCTTCCTAGTGTAAATTTATACGCTGTTATCTTTCTTGCTCTGCAGCTGGGGCGATATAACCAACACAGGGATGTGATTTTTTTTCATCCGTGCATTCTCTTGGACAGTTATCTTTTCTAGCTCCTAAAGCCCCGATCTTCTAATTTGTTGCAACAGGGCTGAGCCTTGTTGACTTCAAGGGGTTTCCATGATGATAAAAGAGTTGGCCCACACGCAGCAAATGACAGGAGCAGGCTCAACCTGTCCAAAATAGTTTTGGAAGTACACCAGATTGAAACCTCCTGCAGTAACTTACCAAATAAATATCTGAGTAGGCATAGTTGCTATAGCGAGTGGCACAGTTCTCAAACCATTCCGATGTCTCCATACCAGCAGCATTTCTCGCACATTTGCTGCAAACTTCTTCATAAAATAGTCCAGTCTCAAAGACTGGGGTGTTATTTTCAGATTTTGCAATGTAGGTGAAATCCACAAATATCTGTCAACCCTTGTGTTTATAACCTACTCCCACTGTCCCCTTTCGTTGGTTAATATATTGCTTCGGAATGTTCATCATTATGCCTTAAATGATAGTTAGCACTGAAATTTAAGAGTAGTGACAAACAGAATTGGGGGGAGCTGAAAACCTCTGCAAAAATTCAATGGATTTTGAAGAAAATATGCTGAATCTTTATAAGCTATCTGGGAATTTCTACTGCCATGCTCATTGCTGTAATGATAATGCCTAGGGCCAAATTTCAAAAGCCGCTTTCAGAAGTGTACCGAGTGTGCAAGTGAAAACCATGCATTTGTGCATACAAAATGCGAAGGCCTGATTCTGATTTCAATGGGACTACTTCTGTAATGGGGTATGGTGCATTGTGAACAAGGGTGCAGTATATAAGGCTTTAGAGCTGAGGTACTCACAGTAGGGAACAGAACCTGTAAGTGGCTATTTTAACAGACAAATGGGGGATTTCACTTTTGGACGTTCCTTTTAAAAATACTGTCTTATGTACATAACATGACAGAGGAACAACTGACAATCCAGCTTGTCTTTATCGCAGTGATATTTTAAATACATTTTCCTCATTGAAAATGAAACTTTCTTGTCATTTCAGAGGGCTTTGTTGAAACTGACTGCATACCCTTGCATCTTTGACATGCAAGATAAGATTGTGGTTTATAACATTGACCGCCAAATTCTGTTTGGGATATATAACGTAAGTATTGCCAAAGTCAATGAGGTTTTTTTAATAATTTAAAAACCAAAAGACTGTAAAGCTTGTAACACATTGTCTATTTTGTTTTGTAGACAAACTCTTTCCTGGTGCCACGAGGTCCGTGGCGTTTAGAGGTCAGAAGAGCACATCTTGTGGATGACGTGTGGCAGAATTTAAGGAGCGCAGTACCTAAAACATTTGAGAAATTCTTGCAAGTAAGAAATCAAGCTTGATTATTTTGTTAGCTCCGAGTATATTGCTCTAGAGTACTTTGCCTTTAATATAGCTAATAACCAACAAAGATCTTTCCAGCATTCAGCAGGCATTTTAAAATCCAGTTAAAAATCAAAGGAGGAAAAGTATCATGGAAATTACTTAAAAGCAAGTTCCATGTGGTCTAGAATTAATTTCTCGTTCTTGGCATACCTGGCAATTAAACTTTGTTTGATTAAAGCAAGTGGCTCATTCTCACCCATTCACTGGGTATTTGTACCAAGTCTTAGGACTTATCTACGCAGTGGGGTAATGCACGCTACGGGGGTGGAGTATTTTATAAAGCACAGGAATGTGTTGCGTATTAATTGGTCTGGGTACACCCAGGTGGTGCACTTCAACATAGTTATGTTTGAAACTCCAGTGTTAAAGTGCACTACAAGAGAACCGTTAGTGCGCAAAAGCAGGGTTTATAGGAACCAGTTAACACAACACATTTGTGCGCTTTAGAAAGTACAGTCACGTATAATGCATTACTCCACCATGGAGACAGCCCTTAGCCAACCAGTGCCAGTCATCTTAACTTAAACAGGAGCTCCCAACTGGACAGAGAGAGACATCTCTGATGTTGAGACAGAGAATGGTGGTAGCAAAAGTGATTCCTCTGCATGAGCTAGACCATACATGTACAAATTGTCCTTATGCATACCATTGCCACCTTGATGTAAAATGCAAGAGGGTAAGGATGAAGGAGCAGAAAACTCTCCCTACATAACTTTTTAGCTTAGGTTGGAAATGTGCTTCCATTTACAGCTCAGTAACAAATATCTATCTCCATGTTAAAATTGAAGAGTAACATCTGTGTCTTGGATACCTATCTGGGTAGTGAGATTTATATACGTTCCTGCAAAGTGCATCTCTGAGCCTGTGATTCTGGCTGGTCACATATATGGGGACTCAGAGACATCCCTTGGGTATGGTGAATCGGGGCGACCGCCGGGGTCCCCGCAGGAGGCAGCGGGGAGGTGAGGCGAATGGGGAGGTGAGCGGCCGCCGGGCAGGGGTGAGGAGGAGCCCCCCTACCAAAACCTCCCCCTCACCCCAGCACTTCCTGCCCACGGGCGGGCCCCGCTCCCTCGCAGCACCTACCATGGATTAGATGTTTTGCAGCGTCAGGAGGTGCTGGGGGGGAGGGTAGGGGGCAGAACTGGGTGAAGAAGAGTTGGGGCAGGGCAGAAGGGGCAGGGGTGGAGCCTTGGGGGCAGGAGCGGAGTGGGGGCAGGGGCCTGGGTAGAGCCCCCCCTGGCAGATTGGAAACTCAGCGCCTATGTCCCAGGCTCCGCAGCCCCCTAGGGACAGCCCTATGGGGACTGGTTAACATTGGTTAGGTCTTCTAATGGGGGTGGGGGGGGGGGGAAGCTATTCCTTGCATTGGGATGGACTCCGTGATCTGTGGGTCTTGTCTATAACTAACTACTATGACCCTAAGTAAGATGGAGTCACTTGTACAAGTTGACGGAACAAATACAGCAATAAATCAAAGAATACAAGTCTACCAGATTCATTCTTTGCTACCTCTCTGCCCCTCAAGTCTAACTCTGGGAAACAAGAGCTGGCCTCCTTTAGATATAGCACATGATGACAGCAAGCCATGACACTGCCCAACACTATGAGGTAAAGAGGAAGAGAGGAATCAGGTCACATATTTATCCCATTTTCACAGAGTCTGTATTTAATTGGATGGTAGTTTACATACATGAATTTATATATAAACAAACCAAACTACAGGTAAATATTCTTAAAGATTTAGTTACTGAGAAATCAGAAGAGAGTAATAAGATGCTCTAGGGAAAAGCAACTAGTTATAATCTGGGAGGGCAGACGGTATTTTTGATGTGTTGCTTAACGAAGCAAAGCTGTAGGCAGGGCATTCGATGCTGTAAGGCGTGGAGTAAACGGCAGAGTGAACCTGCGCGTTCACACTGCTGCGGTAGACGCAGGGTGGGAACTGCTGGCAGGGAAGAAGGACCACCACCACCAAAAGAAAAAAAGTTGGGTAACGAGTTGTTGCATTTGCTGTCTCTCGTGGCGTGGATATGATAACCAGAGCACTCCAGTCCATAGTGCTGATGAGAGTTTGGAACATAGAAGCCTATATGACTCTCTGATCCTGGGCCCATGCAGAGCTCCATTAAAGTCCACTACCCAGATTTCCTGCCAGGTCAGGACCTTATTCACTCTTCCATCTAATTGTTTTTTCATGATAGTTGGTGCCAGACCAACAGAAATGGAAACTGAAGCCTCCTTTGTAACTACATGATGGTACAGCAAAGGCAGCAGCTATACAGTCATCTCCCATGCTGTGCCGCTGGGGCATCTCATCCATGGTGTGCGGGAGGCCATCTCCAATAGGGACAGCAGCAGTTAGTCTCTGTGGCCAAGTCAGTTCTTGGCCCCTAGTGCTGTCATGGAGATGACTTGTGTTGTACAGACATCAGTTTGCCTGGCCACCACTTTCACATACAGCAGACTACCCAACAGTCATAAGGAGGTGACCTAGCAGTGAAAGAGCACTCCATTGGGTAGTGCTAATATGAGTTTGGAAAATAGAAACCTATATGACCGTATCATCCTGTAGTGAGATCTAACAGCAACCAATGGATATTTTAATAGGTCAGATTCTGAGCCCTTCTCTGCTCCCTTTGTACTGCATTTCCCCAGACAGCATAGATCTGGCGAAGGGCTGGGGAGAGGGTATGGTTGCTACATGCCGCACTGCTGCTATCCCCAGCTGGTAGGGACCTTTGCCAGTTGTCACAGGTTCCAGGAGCCCCCAGGCTACTATCCCATGAATAGGTGTACCAGCTCTGCTATCCTGGCAATCATAATAATGCCTATTTCAGTAATGACAAATGCCGTCTTCATTTCCCCTATAATTTAATTAGAGACATTACTTTTCACTTCCCCATCTAAAATTAGACCTATAGCTTTACAGGTGCATAAATGGATGCCACCTCCAATGTGCCTGCATTTCAGTAGTGACCAAAGAGATCCTAATAGAGTCTGCAAAGCACATGTGGATACAAGTTTGATGTACACCTCTACCTCGATATAACGCTGTCCTTGGGAGCCAAAAAAAATAAAAAAAAAATCTTACCACGTTATAGGTGAAACCGTGTTATATTGAACTTGCATTGATCCACCGGAGTGTGCAGCCCTGCCCCCCCGGAGCATGCTTTACCGCGTTATATCCGAATTCGTGTTATAGCGGGTCACGTTATATGGGGGTAGAGGTGTATTATACTCTATTTCCATAGCCCAGTAAGACAAATGCATTCCACTGCAGCCATCAGTTCAAACCAGCAAGACAACTACTGCATGACAGTGCTGCTTATTGAAAGAGGCATAGTGAAACTCACCCTAACCTATTTAAAATAATTCATCTCAATCAGTGCACAATATTTATTCTTAGCAAAGAGACACAACACCTTTGACAGGTTAGTAGCATAGCCTTACAACACACCCATCGATTTTGATGGGACACACTAACATGGAGGAGGAACAAGAGAAAATGTTATTTAATTATCTCTTAGCACTAATGAGGCCATTGTGCATCAAGGCTTGTGCAGAACGTTACATTTTCAGGTGTCATTGGGAGATTAATAAAGACCACCACTAATGCTAGACCATTGCAACTGCACAGAATATAATATTAGGGTGTGGGTAGGCCATAAGGTTGGCAAGTCTACTTTTCTGCTTTTGCCTTATTAGTTGTGTCTAAAAAGTTTAATACCCATCCAGGTCCAAAGATGAAAGAACACATAAACTGGTATGGTAATGGGAAGAAGCAGACTATAGAAACACAAGCTGGTTGTGCTGGTGCAGCCCTCTGGGAACTTTTCATCCACACTGGCTGAATAAAACAGACCAGCTAAGGACAACAGTGGAACAAGTACAGTTAGCGTAGGCAGTGACAGGAACATTTTTCCTTCCCCAGTTACTGTAGGCGTAGGTTAGTCTTCAGGTTTTGTTTTTAATGATAACAGCTATCTAGGTTTGCTTCGGTTCTTCATCCTGGGCCTTTCTGTCAATCATCCTTGCGGCCTGAGGGATCATATTAGGAATGCCATCAATGATTGGATATGCGATGCCCAGCTCTTTGTTAATTAGTTCATTGGTGGATGCTTCATACCTGATCAAAAAATTTAAAGAATTGAACAGTAGATACAAAGACCTGGGGTTTTGTTTTGTTTTTTAAGATTTTGGGTTGGGTTGTTTTTTTGGAAGGGGGTGAAAGACAACTGAAATCTCAACAGAAGTATGTAGCTGGAAACTATGGAACTAGTAGAATTATCATAACAGAAAGTAACCAGGACACATTCTCAAAGCAGGAAAACATGCCTTCAAATAAAGATACTATTTAGAATGGAGGCAGGGTGTGACTCTTCATTACAAAATTTAGAACATTTAAATTATGAAAATGAAAATTCTCCTTAAGTGCTTGGGCACCGTGCAGCTGGGAACTAAGATTGTGTGTAGAAAATGCCATTCAACTCAGCTGTACTTCACAATGATGTCCTCAAGGCTATTCATGGGGTACTTTATGATTGTGTTTGTGTATGCAAAGGAGAAAGTGTAAATATAAATTATGGCAAACTGTAGCTTCCACAGAGCACATGTGCTTGTCATGAACCTTACAGGTTACTTTCAGTTCCTGCCTTTTGCTGTATTTCAATTAATTCTAGTAGATATAAATAGCATGCTCATGGAGGGAAATAGGTAAAAATGGAGGGAGAGCCTGAATGGGTGTGACACACACACACACACCCCTTCCATTGTAACTCGCTTCCCTCCCCCGTGCAGATATACAGTTCAGTTAATGAAAAGCTGCAGAAAATTGGAAGTGAGTGACCTGCCAAGATTTACTCATGGGCCGGTGTAGGCTCTCATTCAGATTAACTTTAGGACTGATTTAAAAACCAGCTCCTTTTGTGATTAAAGGCTACTGCTGTGTTTTTCCAACAGGATAGTGAAATTTCGCTCATGCTTTGAAATCAGCCTCAGACAAAATTGTCACTGTTGGTTAAAATTTTATCTCTAAAGAAGGGTGGGGGGGATTAGCTGGACACTGGAAGTTCAGAGGGTGGTGGGTTTGTGGGAAAGGGGAGGAGAGACTATTCCCTACAGGCAGGGATTACTGGGCACGGTTCCCTGGCTTGCATCATGCAGCAGGTCAGACTAGATGATCACAAGGGTCCCCTAAACGCTCTGAATGCAAGAGAAGGGGAAGGAGGCTGGCCTCACCTCAGTGGTTTCTTGGATAGCGGGCAGACCAGGAACTCGAGCAGAGCCGGGTCCCACGCCTTGGGCTGCTCCTGGCCCTCCTGCCCGTCCGAGGAGTGTCTCGGGGCTGCACCCGGGAAGGGTCTGTTAGCAGCAGCGCCTGCTCCCACGGGCTGGGGCTGCCTGCACAGCAGCACTGAGGCGAGGGTCCTGCTCACATACCGTCCTCGCATGGTCCTGCTCAGCCACTGCCGGGCCTGCTGCTGCTGTGTGCTGACTCACAGGGCCAGCCTCCTCCTCCTCTCTGCAACGAGTTCCTTCCTGTGCTGGCTCCAGCGAGTCCCTGTGCAGCCTGGGTGCTTGCACTTTAGTTCCTAGTACTCAGCCAATACTGCAGTGCTCCTGAACTGTGTTATTTATAGCAACTGCTCTTTCCTTGTAGCAACTCATCTTTCCTTTCAGCCCACGCTGAATAGAGTCAGTTATCACTTTCACTTGGTTCGCCACACTATCAGCTAATTAAGCTATTTCTCCTACGGCTCGGAAGGCAGAAACTGTGGTTTCTATTTTCTAAATACTTGGAGACTCTCAGATACTATGGTGGAGGTACTCCATCCGTACCGGAATAGATTAATGGATCAACAGCTGTAGTATTTTAATCTCATTCTAAAACAACGAGGAGTATAAATCTGTTAGTCTTTAAAATGCCACCGGACTCCTCATTGTTTTTGTGGATACAGACTAAAACGGCTACCTCTGATACTTAATCTCATTCTAAGCATTTCCCTTGGCAGTTCAACCAGGTCTACAAGCTGAGGCTACAGCGATTTGTGCACCTATAGGAAAAGTTACACTCCCCGAGAGTTGACAAATTGTACTCATGTGGAGGGGTTAGGGATACTCCCTTGTTGGGAGTTAATTTTTAGTCCATTTTTATTTTTAAGCTCACTGTGATGAGGAAAGAATTTGTTGAGTTGATTTCAGTGGGACATTGGAATTTATTTTGAAATCTCACTTGTTCAACATATTCCAGCTTGACTGCTCTAAACCTTTGTTTTCAGAGGTTTATAACTTGCTCAGGAAAAAATGGTTCCAGTGGGGAACTGGAAAAAGAGAATCTAGGGCGGTTTAAACTCAATTAAAAAACAAAAGAAAAACAAAAATACGAAATACTTAGTGCCTAATGTCATAAAAATAATAAGACAAAAAATATTACATTTTGGCAAGTGAGCTTCCCCATAGCCCGTATTTTGACCTGAATACCTGCTGACATACAGAAAAAATCTAAACTCCCCAAACTGTGTCAGCAAATGCCCCAGACAGTGCAGCACTTGCTTTGATGTTTGATGTCACAGAGCTACCCTGCCAGAAGAGGGCACTCTACAAAATATTTCAGTAAGAGTATAAAAGGTAACTGAAGCACATGGAAGCCACATGTGCTTTCAAATGTGGACACGGCCACTGGATTTTGTAAATGCTATTTACTGCTGCTATGATACAACAGGGATGGAGCAGCAAAACACAACTGGGAGGTGAAATGGAGGAGCAAAGAGGGGAAGGGAATGCATGGGAGAGATTGGAGGAGTAGAGAAGTATATTGGAGAAGTAGAAAAATGCATTGGGGAATAGAATGAAAGAACACTTCAAAGAATGCACACCACAAGAGAAGATGAGAGAGAGAGAGAGAGACTGTATCAGGCATGAGAGAGCACAGAATAATGGGAGTGGGAGACTGAATTTATTACAGATGTTCATGGGGACATTTCCTTGGATTCTTTTACACTTTAAAAGTTGCGGCCTATGTGACTGCTATACATGCTATAATTTTTTTCATAAGAATGTCTAATGCTCATTTTAAATTAACAAAGTATTACATTTATTTACACAACAGTCAGGCTTAGCTGTTAAGGCAAGTCCTAGCCGGGTAATTATTTCTATCCAGGGGTTCTGAGATCATCAGAAACCATGACCCAAAAGATCATGTGATTTATTATTGTCGCTAAAATGGCAAGAAAGAATTACAGTTTTATACAGCAATCCACATTTGGGGAGTATAAAGTTTTCTGAGAACCGATATACAAATGATGCAGAACAGTAAATACACATAATTTTATTTTAATGGCATTGTGTGTGCATGTGTGTGTTATATATAACAAATATCAGGGTTTTTTAATGCAGATATGGCTAATATTTAATTCATGGCATTAAAATTAGGTAGTACCAACTGATGTCCACTAGATGGTGCTATGCTGTTTATAAAATAAGGTTTAAGCTCAAGCTTCTATGCTTTCCAATGTTCTAAAACTACCAGTAGTGTTTTCTGTAAGTGAATGTATTGTTCTTGAAAGGGGCAATTTGCACTGTGGCTTTATGCACAGTGCCTGCTGTGTGAATAAGCAGGAGACAACTCTTTCCAAAGCTAAGTGAGTGTTGAACACTACCAAGTCAGAATGATAGCCTTTTCCACCCGCTTGGCCCTGATGTAAATAACTGCACAGGTTGCAGACCAACAGTGATATAGATCCTACAGGTGAAATCCTGTCCCCATTGAAGTCAATGGGAATGTTGTCACTAATTTTTCTGGGGTCAGGATTTTACCCCTCATGCATACTAACATTCAGATGTGGCTTATCGTCATTAAAGTGGGTGTCAAGAGCTGTCTGTCTGGCATCTTTCAACAGCACTAAAAGCAAATATTGATGAAGGAAAGTAACCTGTGAAAACTGGGCAGGGGAAGAATTAGAGCCTTGGATTTAAGGTTAAGGATCTAATTTGTCAGATTATGGTACCAGTACCAGTACTGCCAACTTCAAGCATTCAAAAAAATCATGAGTCAGGCCCCCAAAATTATTGTGAGTCTCACAATAAATTTATGGTTTCAGAGTAGCAGCCGTGAAGCCCACGAAAGCTTATGCTCTAATAAATTTGTTAATAAATTTATGACAGTTGACAACACTGTGGTATCACTTATACCTTTTCCTTCTTCTATCTCCATCTCCTGTCCATTATAACAGATGATGATCATTCAAGGGTAAACACACTGAGCGTTTCATGCTGAACAGCCACCGCAGTTATGGGTATTCAATTTGTAATTGCCACTTCTGCAAACGAGGCCCCAATCCTGCAATTTCATATGCATTGACAGTCCCTTGCACCTGCATCCAGCTCACTGCAGATTTCAGGGCCCAAGTAACTGCCTAGTGCTGGGAGGAGTTGTGCAAATGATCATTTCAGTATGGACACAAGAGCAGTGATTTTGTTGGGGTCTTTTGGGGCTATTCAGGTGCAGTTCATTGGAGAACAAGGTATTGATGATGGAGGGTTGTCCCAGGAGTTCTTCACTATCATTACAAGGGAACTGTGTTGTCCAGAAGCACAGATATTCAGACATTTTGAGGACTCCATGCTGATTTGGTTCCCCTCCCAGGTGAGTTATTAAGATGATACTATTTTTTAACCTCCACTTAAAAAAAAAAAAGTACTCTTAGCTGGTATTTCCCCATATGACTGTCACCCCTTCCCCCCCCCCCCTTCACGTTTTTATGAACTGGCTCACGCTTTGGGTCATGTCTTCTGTGAGAAACAGACTTAGAAATGCTGCAGGTCTCCCTGTGGGCAGTGCTTGGATTCCACTGAGCAAGCTCAGCCTCCATTAGGGGAAATCCTGGAGTCCCACCAACAACCAGATTCTCAGTTAAAGGAGTTTCCAGTTCATATTTTGGGCCTCAGAAATGCTTGCTCCTTTAAATAACAGGCATAGGGTTCTGTATGTATGCAGTTACTTCTTTATTTACACTTAGGGCATGTTCTCTGCAATCAGGAGGTGTGATTGTAGGACATGTAGACAAACATGAGCTACTTTTGAAGCTAGCGCAAGTAATAATCACGGTGAAGCCACAGTGGCACGGACTAGCCCTGTCTGCCCAGGACCCTGGGCATATACTTGAGTGGGTGTCATCTGTGCTGCTGCAGCTTCACTGCTATTGATACTCAAGCTAGCTTTGGTCTAGCAAGATCAAAGTTAGCTCAGGTGTATGTACATTTGCTGCAATCACACCTCCCAACTGCAGGTTAGACATAGCTGTAAGAGAGTGTAAGTGACTCGCCCAGGAACTCAGCAGCAGAATGATGAATACAATTCACGGATCCAGATGCCCAGTCCCCTGCCTCTAGCCACTAGATACACTCCCTCCCCACTATACTAAAAAGTCAGTAATAAGGGGTTTGTTATGTTTTTTAAACACACAAACTAGGTACCAGGAAGCGAAGACACCTTTTCCCTGATTGGCACTCTGTTTGGAATGGCACTGTATAACATGAAGATCGCTCCCTTTCATTTCCCTCTAGCTCTGTACAAAAAGTTGCTGGATATTCCACCCACTCTAGAAGACTTAAAAGAGCTGTCTCCTACAGAAGGGAGGTATGATAAAACAATTTCCCAAGCTTTGTGCCATGAAATAAAAGTTGGGGGGGGGGAGAAGTCTCCTACTTTGTGGTGTGCATAGAAACCACTAAAAACAGAGCTAAATGCAGTTATTCAAGTACATGCCTTCGATGAACCTATAATACCATACTGCTTTTGATATGATAATTCTAGGACATGGACATGCTCCAGCAATGAGACACTCAGGGTACGTCTGCCCTGCAAGTGGATTGCTCCCTCTGCCGACAGATCATGTCCACATTGGGGACACCATCATCGACAGGGTGAGCAATGCACCGTGGGTATGTATCCCACAGTGCAGTGTTGTGGGAAGGACGAGCTGATCGCTGGGCATCTTGGGATTCTCTCCGGGTTCTCCCACAGCCCCTCAGCTGCCGAGAGCAGCATCATGAGCAGTTCTGTGAGCTCTCCTTGCTGAGGATCGGCAAAGCAGCCCAGCAGTCTGTCCCCCTCCCCCTACAGCAGCAGTCTGCCTGCCGCTATGTTCGTAGTGCAGTGCAGGGCAGAACAGGAGCATTCCAATGATTTGCACTTTGCTTGTTCCCCAGACAGAGCAGCACACAGATACTTCCCGGAGCTTTGAAAGGGGAGGGCGCATGCCTGCAGGGCAGCAGAGATCAAAACACTGAGCAGAGCAATCAGGGCAGGCATTGTGGGATACTGGCAGAAGCCAGTTCTGTTGACGAAACAAGCGGCAGTGTCTACACTGGCTCTTTGTCGACAATAAAAGGAGGGGAAAAGACAAAAGGCTCTCGTAGGGGTGGAAGCTTTTTGTCGCCAAAGATTTTTGCGACAAAAGTCCCATTGTAGTGTGTACACTCTTGCTGTTTTGTTGCCAAAAGGCAGTTTTTGGCGACAAAACTTGCCAGTGTAGACAAGCCCGAAGAATGTTGTTGCCTATAATTTAGACCTGACTGAAACAAAGATGCATCTCCTTTAATAGTCCCCTGATTGGTGGGTTATAAATTTCTGTTGTGATTCCATTTTAACCAACTTAAATGTTTAGTATAACAGAAGTATTTCTCTATGCTGTGATCATGTCAGATGTGAGAAACTCAGCTTTGGTTGCGTTAGGTTTTGAATAAGAGATTTCAGCTATGTACAGCAGGAAATGGTGGTGGTGATTCAGTAGATAGCGTTCTTCTCCTCGATTCAATTTTGAACCGATGCCCTATCATCACAGATGGGGATACTGTGGTGCTCATTTTGGCTGAGAAGCAAGAGACTGGGATCACAAAGATTGCACGGCATTTTATTTTGTTTGTTTTTTAATAGCATGTCTATTAACTCCAGTGTCTTGGACAAGTTCCAACTCGGTTACTTGCATTCTGCCTACCCAACCTCCTCCCCCTGCTGTTTCACTTCTTATTTCACTGACTTGCACAGCACTTATCACCATGGCAACTAGGTGCTTCACACAAAAATTAAAAAAACCAAGCAAAGCATGAATTACATCAGTGAACCAAATTACTAAAAAAATCTTCACTTCCTGTCTTAAATTGCTGTGTGGTGCTGCTCTGCACTACAAAATAGTTCTTCTCTACCATCCCCCTGGTCCATGATGGAATTCTCTTTACTCAGTAAACATAGCAGCCTCAGGCCTTGATTCTGCACCCACTTACACATGTGAATAACCGTCAGTGGGACTATTCACGTGTGTAAGGTTATTCGCATATGTAACTGTAGGATGGGGGTCCAAGGCCCCAGCCCTGCAATGACCTGGGTGCAAGCTGACCCATACATCTGCATGGAATTCCTTTAAAGTCAGGGGTGGGGGGGGAAGGGGAGCTCTGTTCAGGCCACATGAAGCTCATTGCTGGATCAGGCCTGAAGTTTATAGACCAGTTGTAGACCAATTTGTGGCTCATTCAGAATGAACAGTGCTAGATAAGGTGTAAGACATAAAATACGTGTATATGTACGGAATTAGAAAATATTTTGCTAACTTGCACTAACAAAATTATTTAGAGTCTATTTCCATATTGCTTCTTGTCTGACAGTGGTCTTCAAGAAGTCCTGAATGAAGACTGTGATGACATCCTTGAGAACATGATGATAGATTTCACAGTAAGCCATTATCATCCTACTTACGGGGCCCAGCTCTGCAAACACTTATACACAGAGTAACTTGATTCATGAGTGGTCCCATTGAAATCAACACAACTGATCATATAAGTTAAGTCCTCACCTTCATAAGTGTTTGCAGTATCAGGCTCTGTGTAAAGAATAAGAATGGTATGTGTAAGCCAGCATTCAGTTTTTTACTTTGCCTTTGACTGTTGTAGATAATGAAGGAACAAGGAGGATCTATAGTTTCCATTGAACTTAAAGAAAATGGTGCAGACATTCCAGTCACAAAGCATAACAGGTAGTTCTCTCTCTCTCTCTCTCTCTCTCTCTCTCTCTCTCTCTCTCTCTCATACACACACCTTTCTTTAAGCATCTCGTGTTTTAGTTTGTCTTGGAAGAGGTATAGATTTATATATGTATTGGTTTTAAACTGTAAGATTTTTCTCATGAGCGAAGTGTTTGTTACATAGGACAGAAAGATAGTTGGAAGTAAAAGTCCATTAACCTTACAGTGTATCACGGATAACCTCAACACAGGGGTAACTGGGAGATGATAGTCTTTGGTCTGTGTTATGCAGAAGATCAGAAATGGTCCCGACTGGGCTTAAAATCTCTGAATCTGAAAGCCGTATATATAATATTTAAAATGGGTAGGTGGTAGAGAACTACCATTCCAGTGAATTATTCCTATCACAAATAAAAAGAAGACTCAAACTAAGTTAAACCTGTGTAAATCCAGAATAATTCTGTTAACTTCAGTGGGAGTTACTCTGGATTTATACCACTGTAAAACAGCAGAATATGGACCAGGGATCTGTGTTCATAAATGTGCACACAGCACAAAATAAAGAATACATACTATGTCTTACTCTGGGGCCCTTGGCTACTACTATAATATAAATAATAAGAAAGACCTTAAAATGTATAAAAATAGCACAGAAAATGCATTCATGGGGGTGACTGAATTGACAGTCATTTGTAGTGGCCATTCCTGTTTGTTTATGTACACAAGTAAACTTACTGAACTCAGTGGGATGGCTACACATGTGCACAAAGTGTCTTGCATGTGTTGGATTAAGGCCACATTCAGGAATGAACTATTGCAGGTTTCCCCTTTAAAGTTGCCTCTGACTCTGTTTCACTAAAAGCAAGAAATCAGTAGCATTCAGTTGATTATTTTTGCAGGAAAGAATACGTCAATGCATACGTGAATTATGTGTTCAATGAATCGGTAAAGAAGCCATTTGAGGATTTCAGGAATGGGTTTTTAAGAGGCTGTCCAGCTAAGAAGTGGAAGCTCTTCCTTCCTATCGAGTTCCTGACTGTTTTCCGTGGACATACAAAATATGACTGGAAGCTGCTGGAAGAGGTAATGCAGTCCAGCAGAGCATGTGCCTGCTTTACTTGCTGAATATAGGTTCCCTGTCTTTGTTCTTTTGTTGAGTACAAACCTCATGAATGAGAGAATAGACGGTTCAGGGGCCTGGTAAGAGATGAGGGGCTTTTCGCTTAGGTTCACACCAGTGCCCCAATGTATTGTTCCTAGTGGCTACTAGTCATTTTGGGGCTAAACAGGTTGATGATATTCCTTTAAATTCTTTTGGGTTGTGCTATTGTCTCATTTTTAGTGCTTGGTAGCCAAAGAAACATGATCTGGAGGTCCATGCTGCAGCATACCGCACCGAGCATGCTTTGGGCACTCAAAGTAAGACAGTAGAAGAGTGGTGCCTCTGCTGACTATGTGTATGTACAACATCTAGCGCAGTGGGGCCCCAGTCATGGCAGGGGTCTCTAGGCATTACTGTCATACACATACTAATAACAATTTTCAGAGCTGCACCCCTTACACTCTTGTTGGAAATTCGCCCCATATGAAAGAGGCCCCGTCGGTTTTCCTGGTACCACTTCTTATGATTTTTTTTTTTTTAAAGAGAAGAATTAGAGATGGGCTTAAAGTAATACCTCATATCTGACCTGAGTCCTTCCCTCCCACCACCTTCAAGCTGCAAAGTGGGCATGTTAGAAATCCATATCCAGATCTGGATCTGAAATGTACTACACTCCCCTCTCTATAGCTGGTTGAGGCAGACCCTCGATTAGAATGCCCTGAACTTCTGTGTTAGTGCAGGGGTGTTAAAAATCTGAATTTGGCAGCTAGGGCCTGTATGTGGGTGGGTGGAAGTGCTGTGCAAAGAGATGCCCCAAAATGGAATCCATCCTAGCAAATAAGTCCATCTTGGCAATATTAAAATGTAAGACAAACATTTGGTACAGTTTTTTCCATTCTATCTTAAAATAAGTATTTAAATAGCTGGGATTACAGGGATCTAATCTTGGAGTAGCCTTGTGTCCCTGGAATAAAGGATTAGAGCATTTTATCTTTCTTATGAGCCAAAGTCTGAGTCATTCAGGACCAAGTTTTCCCTCAGTTCTACCAGTGTAAGTAAGCCCAATTGCCTAAATTCATCTAGTTCTCTGTTGCCCTGCACCTTCTGTAGTCATTTATACCCATGCTAAGTAGGTGTAAACACTTTCATTGTGATTTGGTGGCACTTTGCCTGGCACCCCATGTAGTACAACCTGGGGGCAATCAGGAACTAGACCCACTGGAGTTACTCTAGATGTACAGCTGAGCAACCAAGATCAGAATCTCACTCAGACACAAGTCAATGGAAGGTTGCCTGAGTAAAGAAGAGTAGAAATTAAGTAAGAACTTCAGGTTTTGTCGAACATTCCTTAAAAACCAAACAAGCAGATTCCACCTATAGGAAACTAGAAGGCTCTAATATAGCAACAGGACTATTTTACATATTTGGTAAGTAAATGTATTGCTTTAGATCAATAAAGAGCTATCAAAGAACAACCACACAGCAGGGCACTGATTATCTAACATTCTTGGAATGTATTAGGTAACTTTTTATTACAGAAGGTGGAGAAAATGACTAGGGGAGAGACTGTTCTAGATTTGAGCCTGGCAAACAGGGAGGAACTGGTTGAAAATTTAAAGGTGGAAGGCAGCTTGGGTGAAAGTGATCATGAAAGGATAGAGTTCATCATTCTAAGTAGTGGTGGGAGGGAAACAGCAGAATATTAGACAGTGAACTTCAAGAAAGCAGACGTTAGCAAACTCAGAGAATTGGTAGATAAGATCCCATGGGAAGCCCGGCTAAGGGAAAACAGAGTTTAGGAGAGCTGGCAATTTTTTTAGAGAGACATTATTAAGGACACAAGAGCAAACTATCCCAATGTATAAGAAAGATAGGAAGTATGATCAGAGACCACCATCCTGGTTTAACCAGGAGATCTTCAATGACCTGAAACTCAAATGAGTCATACAAAAAGTGGAAACTAGGTCAAATTACAAAAGGATGAATATAAAAAAAACCCATCAACACAAAAATATAAGGACAAAATTAGAAAGACCAAGGCAAAAAATGAGATTAAACTAGCTTGGGACAGAGAGAGAATAACAAGAAAGCATTTTACAAGTATATGAGAAGCAAGAGGAAGACCGAGAACAGGTCCATTATTCAACAAGAAGGGAAAGACCAAAGTGTTAAATGCTTTTTTTTTGTTTCAATTTTCACCAAAAAAGTTAGCCGTGATTGGATGACTAGCATAGTGAATATCAGTGTAAATGGGGTAGGATCTAGGGCTAAAATAGAAAAAGAACAAATTAAGAATTACTTAGACAAGTTAGATGGCTTCAGGTTGGCAGGGCCTGATGAAATACATCCTATGTTACTTAAGAAACTGGCTGAAGAGATCCGAGACATTAGCAACTATCTTGGAGAGCTTGTGGAGGATGAGAGAGATCCCAGAGGATTGGAAAAAGGCAAATATAGTACCCATCTATACAAAGGGGAATATGGACAACCCAGGGAATTATAAACTAGTCATCTTAACTTTGATACCAGGAAAGATAATGGAGCAAATAATCAATTTGTAAGCACCTAGAACAAAATAAAGGTGATAAGTAACTGTCAACATGGATTTATCAAATATGAATGATGTCAAACCAACCTAATATCCTTCTTTGAAAAGGTAACAAGCCTTGTGGCTAGGGGGAAAGGAGCAGATCTCAACTTTAATAAGTCCTTTGATATTCTCTCACATGACCTTATAAACAAACTAGAGAAATATAGCCTAGACAGACCTATTATAAGGTGGGTGCATAACTAGTTGGAAAAGAGTACTTGGAGAATAGTTATCAATGGTTCACAATTAAGCTGCAAAGGTATATTGAGTGGGGTCCAGCAGGATCTCTCCTGGCTCTGGTTCTAATCCAGGGCCGTCTCTGGCTTTTTTGCCGCCCCAGGCAAAAAAGCCTCCCGCCGTCCACCGCCCCCAGCGGGGAGCGTGGCAGGGGAGGGCGCCGAGCCCGGCCGCGGGCCCGCTCTCCCTGACCGGCCAGAGCACCGGGGGGAGGGCGGCGAGCCAGGCTGCGGACCTGCTCTCCCCGACAGGCCGGAGTGCCGGGAGAAGGGCGGAGAGTCCGGCCGTGGCTCCACTCTCCCCGACCGGCCAGAGCACCGGAAGGAGGGCGGAGTGCCCGGCTGGGGCTCCGCTCTCCCCGGTGGCCAGAGCACCGGGGGGAGGGCGGCGAGCCCGGCCGTGGCTCTGCTCTCGGGCCGGAGCGCCGTGCCACCCCCCTCCAGGTGCCTCCCCAAGCACATGCTTGGTGGGCTGGTGCCTGGAGCCAGCCCTGTTCTAATCAATATCTTCATAAATGATTTGGATAATGGCATAGAGCAGCGGTTCTCAACAGAAGGGCTGCGGACCCCGTGGTTAAAACCCAGAGCCTGAGCGCCAGCACCTGCCCCTGGGTTAAAGCCCCGATCCCTGGCACCCCCCGCGGGGCTGAAGCCAGGAGCAGCAGGGCTGAATGCTGGAGCCCCAAGCCCTGGTACTCCCCACGGGGCAGAAGCCCTGAGCCCATGGGCAAAGTTGGGGGGGACACAGGAGGGACACAGGTTGGAGGCGGCAGCTGCTGCTCTGGCTGGTGCCATTGAGCAGATAGCCAAGGTGTTCCCTTGTCTCCTGCTGCTGCAGAGGGTTGAAACGTCTCCTCAGCTCCCAGCCCCCTTTGCTCACGCAGCCGGTAAGAGCCGTCTGGGCAGGGGGACCCGGCTTCGTGGCTGGCAGAGTCCTCGGGGAGCAGCTACCGCAGGGGGAGCCCTTCTGGCACACAGCACCTAGCTACACTCCTGCCTGTACCCTGAGCTACCCCCCTCCCTGCACACAGCCCCTAGCTACACCTCCCTGCACCCTGAACTATCCCCCTGTCCTCACACAGCCCTGAGCTACCCCCTGTCCTCACACAGCCCCGAGCTACCCCGTCTGCACACAGCCCTGAGCTACACCTCCCTGCACCCTGAGCTACTCCCCTACCCACACACAGCCCCGAGCTACCCCGTCTGCACACAGTCCCGAGCTACACCTCCCTGCACCCTGAGCTATCGGGGGTAGAGGTGGCGCTCCCTCCCTGGACCCCACCATGCAGAGCTGTCTCGACCACCATTGGCCTCCGCCCACCCAAAATAGAAGTTAAACTACACCTATGCCTGAGCCCCACAACCCAGAACCCGAAGTCCTCCCCTCCCCCCCGGCCCTGGAGTTTTTGTTGCATGTTGTGGGGGCATAGAGAGAACACTTATAAAGTTTGTGCATGATGCCAACCAGGAAGGAGTTGCAAGCACTTTGGAAGACAGGATTAGAATGCAACATGATCTTTTGGAGAAATGGTTTGAAATAAATAGGATGAAACTCAATGAGTCAACAGTGTACCACTGTTGCAAAAAAGTGATCATCATTCTGGGATGTATTAGTAGGAGCATTGTAAGCATGCCATGAGAAGTAGTTCTTCCACCCTACTCAGCACTGAGAAGTACTCAATTGGAGTACTTTGTCCAGTTCTGGGCAGTGGGCACCATACTTCAGGAAAGATGTGGACAAATTGGAGAAAGTCCAGAGGAGAGCAACAAAATGACCTCTGAGGAAAGACTGAAAAAATTGGGTTTGTTTAGTCTGGAGATGAGAAGATTGATGGGGGACATAAGTCTTTAAGTATGTAAAAGGTTGTTACAAAGAGGAGGGTAATAAATTGTTTTTCTTAACCATCGAGGACAGGACAAGAAGTAATGGGCTTAAACTGCAGCAGGGGAAAATTAAACTAGACATTAGGAAAAACTTCCTATCAGGATAGTTAAGCATTGTAACAAATTACCTAGGCAGGTTGTATAATATCCATTATTGAAGGATGTTAACAACAGATTAGACAAATAGCTGTCAGGGATGGTCTAGATAATACTTAGCAAAGTGTCTTCCAGTCTTACATTTGTAGATTAACTTGGCAGGTCTATTTTTATTCTCTTCGACAGAATACAAAGTACGAAGATTATGAAAAGTCTGATCAAACCATCAAGAATTTTTGGGCTTTGTTTCATGAACTCCCAGAAGAAAAGAAGAAGAATTTTCTTGGTAATAAAACAGGCACTTTAAATAATGCACTAAATATTATTCCATCTAAGGCTAATATAGAGCCAGTGGAGGTGATGGGTCATGAATCAGCATGCAGTTGAGGCAGGAGGTATTTGATTAGCTTCACAGCAATTACCTCATGAGAGTATTTGACTGAGTATAAATGGAAGAATATCTACTTAATTCTTCATCAGTGTAACCCCATTGACTTCAATAGGATATAAATGAAAGAATGTGACACTGGATACTAGTAGAATAATGAGCTACAGCCACAGCAAAAAATCAGGTATTTCTGCTGGAAATATTTTAGAAGTATGTGTTAGTGGTTAGAGCAGAGGACTAGGAGTCAAGACTTCTGCCTTTTTCCCCCAGCTCCCTCTTTGATTGGATTAACTGACTTCATAGTAGAGCTGGGTGCAGATTTCTGTTAAAATATTTTTTCCCAACAGAAAATGCCATTTCTACAGGCAAAACTTAAATTTTGCTGACACTCTTTGATTTTCCAGGAAAATCTAAACAAAATGTTTTGGGTCAGGTAGACCCCAATTGAACATTTTGATGTTTTTAAATGAATCAAAAGGTTTAGTTTCAGGTCAGTTTAGCATTAATCTCTGCTCACCTGAGCAGCCCTAGAGCATTATGGAATATGTCGTTCAGTTGCCCCATACCCCCATTTTCTTTTTTGGGCAAGTGCTCCCTGGCTGGACTCCCATGATGCACCATAATGGTTCAACCAGCGGGGAGACTGTGATGCATCATGCGAGATGCAGTCCAGACAGGGAGCCCGGTCCATAGAGGAGAATGGGGGCATTACACACTTGCACTACAACTCCCATGAGGTGCTGTGACAGCTTGGGAAGGCCCCAAATTATGTTGAACCAAGTCAAAATGGAACCTTTTAATTTGGTTCACCAAACCAAAATGAAATGTTTCAAATTTGAGAGTGCTGAAACATTGAATTTTGATTGAAAATGTTGAACAAAATGTGTAGACATTTCCTAATTGAAATGTTTATGAACTTTCCAGTCCATGAAAAAAATTGAAATTTGGACTTTTTTTCCTGATTTGGGATGACAACAAATGTCAAAATATCAGAAATTCCCCACAGGACAGAAATTCTGCTAGATTTACTAATTAATCTCTCTCTCCAAGGTATTTGAAGACATCTATCACCATAGTACCTTACTGCAGGATAACCACAGATAGAAATTCCCATGTGTCTTTTTGTATTTAATTTTATAAATTTTGAGGTGAAATTGTGGCACATCTCAGAAGGAGGGGACATAAAAGAGATGGCTTGGTCGGGGCCTAAGAGGAGTCCTTGATTATGGGAATGGTCCTTACTGACACAAGTAGGCCCTGCTTTATCCAGAATGTTGCTGGATCAGGTTCGTAGTTTTTAAGCACAGAAAGCCTAGCCTAGCCTTTCTAACTTAAAAAATCTTTTTGATTAAAAAAGAAAAGAAGGGATCATGCTCATTATAAGTCGGCAAGTAAAAGGATTCAAAATAGGCAAGTACACTAAGTGTAAAACAAAAAACACAAAACAAATAGCTTATCCAATTACTTGTATATTTACTTTGTGATTCTCTGCCCCCTCCCACTCCCCAATAATATTATCTTTGTGTGTTTTCTGCCTGTATCTTGTTGACTTTTTTTTCCTCCCCTCAGCTTTTCTGACAGGAACGGATCGAATCCCTGCCGAAGGGATGAGACATTTTCAATTCACTATTGCAGACTTTCAAAAAGAAAACCCAGACCTTTTCCATCCTATTGCCAATACCTGCTATCACATCTTGAAGCTCCCAAGATACAGCAATGAAGAGATCCTTCGGGAAAAGTTCCTGAATGCCTTAGAGTTTTATGAAAAATTTAGCCTATCATAAATTGTGGCCAAGAGCAATTTAAAAAACATTTTTCATGTCTTACTTGCAATAGTCTTCTATTGTTAGCTTTTGTGGGAGGAGAAGCCACCAAATCCTGTCTTTTATTTGTACTGCACCTTAAAAACATTCAGATTCATTCATCCATTGGGATTGCACTTTAACAAAGGAGGTGATTCTCAGGCCTGCAGTCAAAGTACCTAACATTGTAGAACAGGTTTGTAAAAAGACACTGAACTAACTAACCAAATGCAACGTTGACTAAACAAAAATGTATTATTGTTATTGGTTAAATTTTCCCTGCATAATCTCTTACAATGGATATAAACTGTGTGTGTGTGTGTGTGTGTGTGTGTGTGTGTGTGTGTGTGTGTGTGTGTGTGTGTGTAGTATATATATATATAGTAGAGAGAG